ACTAGAATTTGAATCCAGGCCTTCTGGTTCTAAAGCCTGTGCTTTCCTAGTGGGTTTGTGGACTTTGGAAACTTCAGCTTTGCTATATGTGATTAGAGAGCTATTGAAGGATTTTCTTGGGGAAATGGGGTGAGGGGTACTGGGGATTGATTGAGCCCAGGGATATTCTGCCATTGAGCTACACCCCCAGTCTTTTTTTTTTTTTTAATATTTTATTTTTTAGTTGTAGGTGAACACAGTACCTTTATTTTTTTATGTGGTGCTGAGGATCGAATCCAGTGTCTCATGTGTGCTAGGTGAGCTCTACCACTGAGCCACAACCCCATCCTCACCCCGAATCTTTTTAAAATTTTATTTTGAGATAGGATTTTGCTATGTTGCTCAGCTTGGCCTCAAATTTGCAATCTCCTGTCTCAGACTCCCACGTTGCTGGGATTATTGGCATGTGTCACCATGCCTGGCTTGTTGGAACATTTTAAAGCAGGAAAGTGATGAGGATTGGTTTGCTTTGTTGGGTTGACCTCAGGCTACAGCAAGTGAGTTCTGCCAAAGCAGGAATTTGGTCTTGTTTACTATGAATACCTAGAATTGTGCTTGGCACAAAGTAGTTATTCCATGTATTTGTTGAACGAAGGGTGACAGCCAAATAAGAAAGGATTTGAGGAAAGCAGGACTGGACTCAAAGGTATTAGTGATGAGGTTTATTGTGTTGGGCAACTGTGGAGCCTGGGAGACAGGTGAGAGTGAAGGATGACACCTGCCTTTCTGAATTTGTAATTAGAAAGGTTGCCAACCAAAGTAGAGAACATAAGAGGAAGAGTTGGTCTGGAGGAGAGATGAATTTGGATTATGATTAGATGAATTACAAGTAGACAGTCAAGAGTGCATGTTCTTTATAGACTGAATCTGTAGCTTGGGGTGAAGTCAGGGCTAGAGACTGGGATCAGAGTTTATCAGAATTGAAGTAGTAATTGACACTATGAGAGATAATATCCAAGGAGATTAAAAATTGAAGTGATAGAGTCTAAGAATGGGACAATGAGAAATAGTTTTATTTTAGTGTCTGCTTCTCCAAACTTTGAATTCTGTTAGTGTTAAAAGCTTTTGTTGGTTCATAAAGAATGCCTTCAGCAGCAGTCCAGTTAGACTATGTTGATTTACATTTTATTGATGACAGAACATACTTGGTTATAATGGTTTAAATGACTGTGAGATGTTAGGTTGGAGTCACTTCAGCAGCTGTACATTTAGAGGAAGTACACAGATAGCAATGGCCTTTTCCTTTTGCTTAGAAGAATAACATTTCTAAAACAACTTCTTAAAGCAAGACAGCTACAGTGTTTCACTAAGAAAAATACTGTAGCAATTTAGGTATATAGATGATGCCAACATAAATGGGATGTTCCATTTCTCATTGTTTGCTTATACAGAATCAGCATCATGTTGTTAAATGGCAAAATCTTCTGGGCTAGTTAATACCAGGATTTCACAACTCAGTGGCACCATTTTAAAATATGGGTACTATTAAATTTCCTTGGGAAAGAAAATCTGAACAAATTTCTGACTTTTATTGTGTAGTTTAGCCATATTAATGCATCAAATTAAGCAGTCATCTAAGTTGCTAAGGTCTCACATTCTATGTTAAAGATAAGTGTCAGCCTGGGTCATTGGCATACACCTGTAGTCCCAGCTACTTGGGAGGCTTTGGCAGGAAGATCCTAAGTTCAAGGCCAGTCTGGACAACTTAACAAAACCCTGTCTTCCAAAAAACAAACAAGCAAGCAAACAATCAAAAGCACTGGGGATGTAGCTCAGTAGTATAAAGCATCTCTTGGTTTAATCCCCAGCACCCCCCAAAATTAAAGAATATACATGTCCTTAGAATTGAAAATTTGGCCATTTCATCCACTTTTGGTATAGTTGATATGTGTAATTTGATTGCCAAAGTAATTTTTTTTTTTTTTTCTTTTTCCTGTGCTGGGGATTGAACTTAGGGCCTCATATATACTGGGCAAGTGCTCTACCACTGAGCGGCATCCTCAGCCTTGAATTAATTTTAACTATGGAAAAACTATAAACTGTCATTAGTGGTCCCTCATAGCAGAATTGTAGCCCATGATATAGATTAATGGAAATAAATGGAAATTGCACACTGAAATCAGGACATTTATATTTCTTCAGGTATTAGAAAACTACTCGGATGCTCCAATGACACCAAAACAGATTCTGCAGGTCATAGAGGCAGAAGGACTAAAGGAAATGAGGTTTGTATTGCTCTTGTTGCTTAACATGAAGGTTTCATAGGATTTGTGTCTTTCTGTAGTTGTGCAGTGATCTGTGTAAGTCTACCCATTTGTACACCTGTGCTTGTGTGTCTGGTGGTAGTGTTGAACTATCTGTGACCCTCTGAGTGGAGGGTGGGAGTGGGTACAGCGTCTTTTCCTGCCTTTGCCCTCCCCTAGGTCTTGACCTAGAGCTTTTTCTGGAAGGAGTCAGAGCACATTTCTCTTGTATTGTTTTGTAAGTTTCATTAATATAGAAGAGGGCAGGCCCTAATACACTCTGCTGTGTCTTAAACTACTCTTCTTTCTATGCTGTAGCATTAGTTCTTTCCTTTAGGATCAAACAAAGGTGGTCTCATTTGCGTAGAATCCCTAGTTGCCCCTCATTCTAACTATTTATGATATGAATATATTAAGTTTTAGAGTGATCTTGATTTCTTAAGATCTAGTTTTCATAGAGAAGCAATAAGTTAAAAGTAACTCGATCTGTAGGCAGGAAGACCAGTGACTCTGAGCCTCGTCTCTCTTTACCCTTACCCCAACCCCCCCCCCCCCCCCACCGAAGAATACCAAGTGTGCTTTACCACTGAGCCACATCCCAACCCTTTTTAATTTTTGAGACAGGGTCTCATGAAGTTTCTGAGGGTCTCACTAAATGGCTGAGGTCTTGAACTTGTAACCTTCCTGCCTCAGCCTCCTGAATCACTGAGATTATAGGCCTGTGCCACTGCATCCAGCTGCTTTTTTTTCTCTTTTTTTTTTTTTTTAATTGAGGAAGGAGGAGAGCATATCAGTTTTTTCTTGGTTCTCAAAATACATGATGTTTTTGTTGGTCAAGCTTTAACTGCTTGAATTAACCTTTTAGATTCAAAAGGTACTTCCTTTCCAATTGTCAGATAAAACACTCTTGAATTGATATTTAGTGGGGAGGGAAGAATAGAATTACCTAGTCACCTTTATTCAACTTGTACCTATGCACTGTGTAGTGTTATAATTGTGCTTTATTTTTGTTTTTATTGGCTATTTCCATCTTGCTGCTGTCTGCACTGCTGTTGGACCACTATGCTTATAGAAGGTAAATTAGTCCTTTTGGTACAGATGAAATTGAGAACCTTAACTTGTTTCTGCTTCTTGCTTTTGTAGGAATTATGAAGCAGTCAAGGTGGCTTGTGATGAGTGAGCAGCTCAGTCATTTGTAGATAGATATAGTGTGTAGGAGTTACAAAAGGATCTGCCAACATGCCATTCCTCTTTGAGGCAGAAGTGCTAGCACACCCACTTGATGCTTCAGATTCTGCACCAGGTTTCTTTTAAGAGATTGATTTTTGGTGAAAATTTTTATAGTATCCAGTGTGTTCCAAAACAGAATAAGTAATACTTTTTTTTTTTAATATTTGTATATTTTTTTGTTGTAGATGGACACAATACTTTTATTTATTTTTATGCTGAGGATTGAACCCAGGGCCTCAGATGTGCTAGGCGAGCACTCTAACTCAAGTTAGAGTGTTTCTGAGGGTCTCACTAAATGGCTGAGGAAATAGCCCCAAGTAATAGTTTTTTAATGGCTTTTTTAAAATATAGAATTTATTTTTAACACTGTAAATTAGGGCCTCTGTAAATTCTGAAAAATACTAAGAGGCTTTACTTAAGATTTTTTTTAATTGTTTTTTAACATGCTGGGGAGAGGGATGACAAGGTGAATAGGTGGATCCTATCACTAATGTGCTAGTCCCAAACTTTGTATTAACGGGCATTTATATTTTTAACAGTTTTTCTATTTTAAGTTTTAGTAAGTAGCCACTGTCTTAGTTGTGATTATTTTTGTGAACTACTGTTGTGGCAGGGACCAAGGAACAACTTAATGTGCTCTTTTTAGTTTAATGTTTAAGCATTACTGGGTACTAAATCCATTTGCCTGACTTTTCCTTTTTCAGACAAATTTAAATGATTGCTCTTAAGTAGATGTAGAATAAAATGCAACCGCCTCCTTCCCAACAGAGAAAATGCAAATGAAATACTGTTCCCTGGGGCTGGGGATGTGGCTCAAGCGGTAGCCCGCTTGCCTGGCATGCGCGTCGCGACCCGGGTTGGATCCTCAGCACCACATACAAAGATGTTGTGTCTGCCGAAAACTAAAAAAAAAAAAATAAATAAATATTAAAAATTCTCTCTCTTTAAAAAAGAAAAGAAATACTGTTCCTTTTGTGCGCATGTTAGAAAATATTTAACAGAAAAAACAAAAGGTATACTTGTTTTATTGGGACAGTGCCATTGATTCTGTGGTCTTTGTGTTGATAATGGTATCTGGCAATTTCTGAGCATATGTAGGTTGAAATTTAGAGGTTAGGAAACTTGGTTTTGTTTTTGATAGTATAATTAACATGTAAGTTTTAAAATTTTATTAAAATATAATTTGAAAAACTTGTGGTTTTCCTGAAATTTCTTGGGGATTTGGTTCATAGTCTCGGAAAGCCCTGTAGATGTTATTTCGGGTATCACATAACATTTCTTATCCCAGATCTCTCTGAGTATGATTGGGTCTTTGATTAGTAAGCCCATGGATTTATATGATCCTCATCCATCCTTTTGTATTTTACAGTGGGACATCCCCTCTTGCGTGCCTCAATGCCATGCTACATTCCAATTCAAGAGGAGGAGAAGGGCTGTTTTTTAAATTGCCTGGCCGAATCAGCCTCTTCACACTCAAGGTAAGTAACATGAAATGTTTTAGTGTAGTGGTTCTCAAGGTTTGATGTGCATAAGAATCACTTGGTACGTCTGGAATGGGCCCATGAATTTGTTTTTGTTTTTTTTCTTTTTTTGGTACTGGGGATTGAACCCAGGGGCACTTTACCACTAAGCTACATCCCTAGCCCTTTTTATTTTTTATTTTGAGACAGGGTCTTGCTAAGTTGCTGAGGCTGGCCTTGAACTTGTGATCCTCCTGCCTCAGCCTCTGGGAGTCACTGGGATTACAGGTGTGCGCCACCATGCCCGACTCTGAATTTTGTTTCCCTAATAAGCAGTCCGGTGACACTGATGCTGTTCGTTGTTAATGGCATTTTGGGATATTATAGTGTGTATAGACTATTAGGAATTAAGTCATATTAGCTGTTGTTTCTGTGTTCAGCTTTGCTTGTCTATATCTTTGTAGATTGGAAGCAATTGAAAGCTAAGTGTGTGTGGGGATAATTGCAAATGTTCCTTAATTAGGATTTTGTTTGTAATAATGTTGTGAAGGATAAATTACTGGGCAGCTAAAGTAATACCTACTCCTTGGAAAATAACTGAAATGTGAACATTAGTATTTACCAAGTGACACTAATTACAATGCAAGAGGTAGAGTTCATAGTAAAGCTTAAATAGGGCTGAAATGAACATGGTAATTATTTTTCTACCATTTCTGATGTTTCGGCTATCATTTGGACCATGAGTCTGCAAACTTTTTGTGTAAGGGCCAGAAAATAAATATTTTAAGTTTTGTGGGCTATATTGTCTCTGTCATAATTACTCAACCTCTCCATCATAGCAGCAAAGCAGCTGTAGACCTTCCACAAATGAGTGGATCAGGCTGTGTTCTAATAAACAAATGTTTAATTATAGATGTTTGTTTTGTTTACAAAAACAGCTGGTGGACCAGATTTGATTTGGGGCTTAGTTTGCTGACCCTTGATTTAGACATAAGATGATTTGTTGAATGTAGGGAAGATGGAAAAAAAAAAAAAACAACTTTTTTTTTTGAACAGGGGATTCAACCCAGGGGCACTTTACCACTGAGCTATGAAGGAAACGTGCTATGAAGGTTAAGCAACGTGAATCAAAGGACATGCTATGAGGCAACATACAATGAATAGGGTCTTGCTAAGTTGCCAAGGCAGTCCTTGAACTTGGGATCCTCCTGTCTCAGCCTCATGAATCATGAATCATGTATCCAACTACATTATAGATATGCACCACTGCATTGAGTGTGGATACTGATTTATTTATTTATTTTGTTACTGGGGATTGAACCCAGGGGTACTTAACCACTGAGCTACATCCCCATTCCCCCCTTCCCGCACTTTAAATTTTATTTTGAGATAGGGTCTCATTAAGTTGCCCCTGCTGGTCTCCAAATTGTGTTCCTCTTGCCTCAGCCTCCTGAATTGCTGGTATATAGGCATGCACCACTATGCTGGCTTATTTTAATTTTAATATGTCTGAATTAACTCCATTTTATGAACCTGCACAGGCTTAGGGATGTTCTGTTTGTCTGCAATCCACGTTGGAAGTATGTTGATTGAAGATGAGCTCAGGACATGATCTTTGTTTCACGTTGCTCACCTTCATAGCATGTTGCCTGTTGGCCTTGCACATCTGTAAGCATCAGTTTGTCTATATTCGGTTTGGATTAATGGTTTGCTTGTCTGGTTCCTCCAGTTAGACTGTAAACTCAGTGAGGGGATAGACTATATCTTATTTATTTCAGGGTCCGTGGTATTAGATGTTTATTTAATGAACGAATTGGTGAGTAATGGCTGCATTCTGATACTTTCTTATCTTTTTGTTTTGATGTGATAAATACTGCTTATAGTTTCAGTGAAACTATTTCTAAATCTGCCTCTGGTGTTTAGCCATCTCTTCCTGTGGCTTCAGTAGAATTTTAATTTGGTTAATTGTGTGTTTTCTCAATGTTTTTGACCTATTAGAAAAGTAGTGTTTGCTGGGCTGGGGATGTGGCTCAGTGGTAGAACGGCTCACCTCACACGTGCGAAACCCTGGGTTCAAACCTCAGCACCACATAAAAATAAATAAAGTATTGTATCCAACTACAACAAATAAATAAATAAATAAATAGAAAAGCAGTATATGCAAATTAACAGAACTCTAAGTATAACAGAAAGTGAAAGTAAACCTATAAAATTCTGCGACCTGTAACCTAAATAATATGTGAAAACAATGAAAATACTTTCTTCACATCTTTGGGTTGTTGGTGCTGAGGATCGAACCCAGGGCTTCACACATGTGAGGCAGGCCCTCTACCACTGAGCTACGTACGGCCCCAGCCCCACATATCTTTGTTTTTTACTTTATTCAGTTAACCCATTTTGTTTCACCATCCCAGATGTGGAATACCCCTAAAAACTTACACTTAGCAACAGATATACCACTTCTGGTAACTTTGAAATAATTAAGTTCCAGAAAAAAAACTTGGAAATTCATGGGTTAATATATATTTGAGCCACTTCCCATATTGATTATATAAATATACTTTCTTCTTTTACAAGGCTTTTGTAAGCATTCCAGATTCAGGTTATGAAGAGGTGGTAATTTATTAGTCTCTTGTTAAATACCTCATAAACACCACCCTGTCTCCCAGAAGTTGCACAGGCATTTATTTTATTCAGGAGTATCTAAGAAAGAGTACCAAATAATCAGAACCAGCTGATACCATCTTGATCACCTGAGAATTCAAGTCTGCCCAATAAGCTCCCAAGTCAAAGTGATGTTAAGCATTTTTTTTTTTTCCCAATCCTTAAAAAAAAAAAAATTGCAGGCTGGGGATATAGCTCAGCTCAGTTGGTAGAGTGCTTGCCTTGCATGCACAAGGCCCTGGACTCAATTCCCAGCACCATACACACACAAAAAAAATATTTTGAAAAATTTGAAATCTACAAGAAATTGAAGGAATACTACAGTGAATACACCACCCATCTAGCATTTACCTAATTGTTACAAGTTTTTCACATTTGCCTTATCCCTCTTCTATATATGTGTGCATTTTTTACAGAATCATTTGAAAATGTTAAGTAAAGACATGGCAGTTCACCTTTAAATATTTTAGAATGTATGTTTTAAGAATAAGGACATTTTCCTGCATAAGCATTAAAAATATTATATATAAAATCCCTATGCAGAATTTTCTCTAATTGTTCCAAAAATATTTATGACTTTAAATCTTGTGTCCAGTTGGGATTCATGCATTACATTTGCTTGTCCAGTCTCTTTAATCTCCTGTAATGTATAAAAATTCCCTTGCTTTCTTTGTCTTACATGGTATTGATATTTTTAAATAATCCAGGCCATTTTTATAGAATTGAATGAATTTTTAAGGAATTAGCAGAGTAGGAATCTTGATTATTTCCAGATTGCGCTTGCGCGCGCACTCTCTCTCTCTCTCTCTATATATATATATGTAAATATATATAATTTTACTGCCTAGATCGTGTGAACTGTTTCAGGTTGTGACTCAAAGCCACCTAGCAGAAAATAATGGAAGTGGTGGGTTGTGGTCTACCAAGGGCTAGTTTGATCAAAATTTTGTCTGTAGTAAGGGACAAAAGACACACTAGTTGGGCTGGGATTGTGGCTCAGTGGTAGAAGGCTTGCCTCACATGTGTGAGGCACTGGTTTGATTCTCAGCACTGCGTATGAATAAATGAATAAAATAAGGTCTATCAACAACTAAAAATATATATTTAAAAATTATTTAAAAAGACATCAGTTATTGAACTCACATTTCTCATTTTTCCTTTTCAAGGATCTCTAGTGATCCTGTGAGATCCTTTGGAATTTTCTTAGCCTAAGTTTTCCCTCATGTATTAAGGAAAAGCTTGTGTGCAGAATGGGTTGGTAGTTTTTTTTTTACGATTTTGAAATTTCTTTTGATGAGCCATCAAGGTTCAAGTTTTATTTTATGTGATTATGTGATTATGCTACTTATTTGAAAATAAGAAATATTTTTTGAGTTCTGGATACATTTGTGTGCCCTTACTTAGGTTTACCAGAAGTTTACCGATAAGCAGGGAATATTTTGGGGGTATGCTACAGGGTTCCTTCTCTGATAAAAGTTGTTCTGGTATGTTCAACATTTTATATAGAGAAACATGTATTGGTACTTAGTGTTAGACCTGGGATGGATGGAATAGATACATTCATCTCTATTTTGAATTCTGGATTCGAACTGCTTTCCTTAAGCTTTTCCTGATATCATCTGTTAGTGTTGATCATTGCCTAATTAGAGGTAGAATTTATATTGTTTTTTATGCCTGGGATTTCCTGTTGCCATAAAACAATGTGGACTCCTTTATAGTGTTCTGTGTTTTTAGTACTTTAATACTGAAATACTGTGTTTTTGTTTGTGACTCTGGTTTTATCACTGATGAATTTTAACTTTAAGAGTAGTGAGTGGTCATTCCAGCACTCACTTTCAGGCATATCTGCAATCATCTCATTCTGTTTTGTTATGAAATGAGGCTCAGAGAAAGTTGTCACTTAAAGCTATTACCATTTATTTATACCTCATCTGTTGATAAGAGAGCTAGTTCAGCTTTTAAGATCTTTTCTTCTCAGTTAGAAAGCTCAGTTGAAAATGTATAGAATACCTAAAGTATTAGAAAAGTTTGTAAAAGAAATAGAGACTACATTTGATGTATCCTTACATTAAAACCAACAGTTTGCAAATAAAGGAAAAAGCAAAGGGAGAAGTGAGGAAATAATTGTTGAATTCTTCCAATTAATTTTTATGCACAACTCCTGCACTTGCCAGCAGTTTTCTAACTATTTATATCACCATTAAATACTGAGAATGAGGAAAGGCAAAAGCTCAGATTTAGATAGAGCCTGTTATTTGAAGGTAAATAGCAGAATCCATTTGATATTTGACAGGTACACAGCAAACAGTGGCCTTTTGTCTCTTTAAAATGCAAATTAGGCTGAGTGTTGTAGCATAGACTTGTAATCCCAGCAGCTCTGGAGGCTGAGAAAGGAGAGAGGATCACAAGTTCAAAGCCAGGTTTAGCAATTTAGTGAGACCCTTTCTCAAAATAAACTGGGGATAGGTCTCAGTGGTTAAGTAACCCTGAGTTAAATCCCTGGGACCAAAAAAAAAAGAAAGTTTAAAATGCAAATTAAATCATGTCACTCTCTTGCTTGGTCCTTGCCTATTTCTCTAAATTATTCTCTTTGCATTTTCTTGTGGTCTTTGAATATCTTTTAGCTTATGGTCTGTTTCTCAAACACCTCAGACTTCAGGATACACTTCAGGGTCATTGCACTTGGTAGTCCTGTTGCCTGGAAAACTGGTAACTTGGCATTTGGGTTTCTGTCCAACAGTGTTTTCAGTGATGCTTTCACTATGTGTTATCTTTTTGTCACTGGGACAAAATACCTAAGAAGGAGGAAAAATTTATTTTGGTTTATGGTTTTGGTTCATGATTGACTGGCTCCATTGCTTTGTGTCTGAGTCAAGGCAAAACATCATAGTAGGTGGTGGAGGAAAGCTGGGAAGCAGAGAGTGAGCAAAAATATACCCTTCTAGGACATGTCCCCAGTGACCCACTTTCTCTATGTAGGTCCCACCTCCCCAATAGTGGCATCATTTTACAATTTTGTTAATGAGTTAATCCACTGATAAGGTTAGAGCCCTCTTGGATCCAATTGCTTTCTGAAAGTCCCATCTCTGAACATTGCTGTACTGGGGACCAAGCCTTCAACATATGAACCTTTGGGAGACAGTCTAGATCCAAACCCTAACAAACTACTAATCTAATTTCACAGCATCATCATCATCATTTTTTTTTCTTTTGTGGTGCTGGGGATTGAACCCAGGGCCTTGTGCATGCAAGGCAAGCACTCTACCAACTGAACTATATCCCCAGCTTCTAATTCCACAGCATTATAATAGTTTTAGTTTTTTTGTTTCATAGCCCTATTAGTATCCCAAATTACCTTGACTGTTTCATTTGATTACTTATCATTGGCATCCTACTATTAGATGCTATGTAAGTGCAGGGACTTTGTTTTTTCACAGTAGCTTATGTCATGTCTGGCACACAATAGTTACTTAATAAATATCGACTAAATGAAAATATGGTGTTACCAAAATGTTAAGCCAGCTCATTCTCATTTTCATCTTGCTTTCATATCAGTTTTGTTATAGAATGTGTATGTTTTGGGTTATTTTTTTTCTCTTGCTTGGCAAGTTAATATCTAAGAGTGCAGTTCTACATAAATTTGTGAAAGAATCTGCTGACTTTAGAAATCTTTCTTTCTCAGGCTATGGCTATAATCTGGTTCCTTTTAATTGCTGAAGGGAAAAAAAAACAGCCATTGGGAAGTTTAAAAATTTTAGGTATTTTGTTTGTTTATTTTTGGTGCCAGGGATTTAACCCAGGGGTGCTTACCCATTGAGCCATATCCCTGGCCCTTTTTAATTTTGAGACAGGGTCTCGCTAAGTTACTTAGGGCCTTAGTTGCTGAGGCTGGCTTTGAATTTGCAATCCTTCTTCCTCATCCTCCGCAGATGCTGGATTACAGGTGTGGGCCACCACACCTGGCTAGGTATATAAAATATATTATTCATTTTAGAGTTTTGAATTTTTAAAAAAATATTTTTTAGTTGTATATGGATTTTTTTATTTTACTTATTTATATGCAGTGTGAGGATCGAACCCAGGGCCTCACATATGCCAGCAAGTGTAATATCACTGAGCCACAACTCCAGCCGCAAAAGTTCTGAATTTTAATCACTTCTTTTCTCTCTCTCTCTCTCTTTTTTTTTTTGCCAGATGTCCCTAGGGGATGGAACCTAGGATCATTCTAACTCTTGAGCTACCACACAGCCCTTTTTAAAATTTTATTTTTGAGGCAGGGTTCTTGCTATATTGCTGAAGCTGGCCTCAAACTTATGATCTTCCTGCCTCAGCTTCCCCAAATAGCTAGGATTACAGGCGTGTCCCACCACACCAAGCTGAACTTTAATCATCTTGTCAAAAAATTAAAAAAAAAATAAAAAATAAAGAAGTTTTACTTTGAATTAATAGTTTTAAGTAATGTCTTCTGGAGTGTATGTAGAGCTTATTTTTTATTTTTTTGCGGTGCTGGTGGGGATTGAACCCAGGGCTTTGTGCATGCAAGGCAAGCACTCTACCAAGTAAGCTATATCCCTAGCCCTAGAGCTTATATATTTGTAATGTTTAGAGTCCTAGAATGTTAGTGGTGGAGGAAATCTTAAGTCATCCAGTCCATTTTAATTTTACAGATAGAATACTGAGCAAATGATAGATTAAATGATTTATCTGTGACCATTTTTTTGTGTGTGTGTGAGAAATCATGAGGGTGAGGTGGCACTAGAACCCTAGGAACCTTCAAGTTTGATTTCTTTTTGTTGTGTCAATTTGGAATAAAAAGTTTGTCTTCAGGTTTTCATCTTTTGGAGTATCTTATCATTGTCAAGCAGAAGTAGCTTTTGGGGTCCTTAAATCTTTTGTAATGCCTGGTTGATTTGAATTTCTAAGCTGTTCACAAATTGGCATTTTTGTTGGCTCTCCTCCCCTTCTGTGCCAGAATGAGTGATACATGGTGGGGCTAAGAGCACAGGAATAGGAGTCAAGGTCTGGGTTCCAGCACAGTACCTCATGTGTCATTGGATATCTCCATTTACACTTCTTGTCTCCAATACTGCAGAGTTAAAATTGTTCATTTAAAAAAGTACAAAACCCTTTTATCTCATGAAATGGAAATTTAAATTATAAGTAATGACTGTGAAATTGTTGTGGTGGATACAAGCATGAGAGTTCAGCTTTATGTCTCTTCTGGTTCTGCCATCCCCATTCCCCAAGCACCTAAGCTGCCATCTTTGGATCTCGAAGCTCTATTGAAAACCTCCTAGGCTAAAAATGGTCAGAGACGTTCCCATATTCCCAGTTTAGCATCTAAACTGTTTTGTGTGAAAAGTAAGGCATCAATGGATATTTTCTTTCCAGTTCTTTTGTAATACATTTGGCATTTACTGAAGGCTGACTCTTTTATTATAAACCCTATTCCACTTGTTGGTGTTGGAGGTCTGTACAGAATGCCAGTTAGTATAGCAACACCTTTTGCTCTAGTTAATCACAGAAGCAGTTTGTCTTTGGAAGCTTGGACCCTCATTTGGTAAGAAGTCCCTTACCTGTTTGAGTAATTTGGATCAAGGTACATTTGGATCTGCCTTTCAAAGAAGATATATTCTATTTTCAGAATTCCCAGCCATATCAGAGAGAAGAGTGAACTTTATTGTTTTAGAGCTCTGGAACAGTATGGTTTTAGGCCTAAAAATGAGTTTCCTTTTGTCCTTCTACCTCCTGATGTCCTGAGCCCTCTGGGAACAAAATGATGAAGCACTGAAATGATTTTGTGGTGGCCCAAGGGAAAGGGGCAGGGTGATAATTTCAGGGTTGCTAAAGTGATTTTTTTTTTTTTTTTTGGTGGGGAGGGGAGGGTACCAGGGATTGAACTCAGGGGCACTCAACCATTGAGCCACACCCCCAACCCTATTTTGCATTTTATTTAGAGACAGAGTCTCCCTGAGTTGCTTAGCTACTCGTTTTTGCTAAGGCTGCCTTTGAGCTTGCGATTCTCCTGCCTCAGCCTCCCAAGCCGTTGGGATTATAGGTGTGTGCCACCACGCTGGCTATTTTTAAAATAAAATGGTCATATACACTTTTTTTAAGTGTGATTTTTAAAGCACCAGGATTCTAGGGAGAAGTTTAACTTTATTAAAAGTTATTATCAAAATATTTAATTATTTTTATGTAGGGAAAAAGATGTGCAAATTATTGCACCATATTCTAGGCTTCCTTGGTATTGTGTTTGAAAAAACGTTTAAGCTATTCTTTGTGTTAGCCAGTGTAGAAACTGCATATGATGTTTCAGTTCTTCAGATCAGACTTTAGGGAGAGGTATCTGAGGACTTTCTTTTTAGTCTAAGAAAGTTGTTTCTTCTAGCTTAGCTAAATCTGAATAAAAGATGGGGACTGATATTTAATTGAGTGCTAGCCATATTTCAGACAGGTGTAGTGGTCTTCGTAGTGCTTCTCTTGAAGCATAGATGTTTCCAACTCCTGTACTAAAGAGAAACTGGCCTGAAAAGCTTAAGTGGTACGAATTCATATTTTTAGTCATTTGAGAGATTAACACATGGAGGACAGGTTAGGAGGTCAAAGTAACAGGTTTGAGTTTGTCTTGAAAAGTTTGAGAAGCATGCTCATGCTCAAGGTTCAGAAAGCATAACTTTACTTACATCTTTGTACATCATGAAACAGGAGAGGAATAAGCAAAAAGATGTATATTTTCTTTTGAGATGCTTTCTTGATTCACTGGTAAAAAATGGGCTTTAAGTGTCAACTAATCCTTCTATTTTAGTCTTTTTAAAAAACATTTTTTAGTTATACATGGACACAATATCTTTATTTTGTTTATTTATTGTTATGTGGTGCTAAGGATCGAACCCAGTGCCTCATACCTCAGAGGCAAGTGCTCCACAACTGAGCTATAACCCCAGCCCTCCTTTTAAAAAAAAAAAAAAATTGTTTTTAGTTGTTGATGGACCATTATTTTGTTTACTTATTTATATACAGTGCCAAGAATCTAACCCAGTTTCTCACACGTGCTAGGCAAGCACTCTAATGCTGAGCTACAACTTTAGCCCCTAGTCTTCTCTTTTGAGATATATATGACTCTTCATGCCAGTTTTTCTTTGGAAAGATGTATGTCACGACAATTTACTTTTGAAACGTTTGCTTTTTTTTTTTTTTTTCTTGGTCTGTATTTCCAGTGCCACCATCAGAGCCTATCTTATCTTATTACTCAGTAGCTCCTGTGTGATCTGTTGCTTTTACTTTGTTCCCTTTTAAGCTTCTTTGTATTCCACTCAGCAGCTGGAAGGTTTTCTTTCAAAGCACAATTTGATCCTGACATTTTTTTGTTTGGTACTTGTCAGTGGTTTCCCATGGCATTTATTAAAAAAAAAAAAAATCTAAACCTTGCTTGACCACCCTTTTCTTTCAGTTGACTTCCTTAATTAACTTACTTCCAGTTTTAGGGTTTGGCATTGCAGACTTCCACTTTTTGCCTGTCTTGAATCTCAACTTCAGGACTGACAATTTATATCATTTCTTCAAAGGAGCTTTCTCTTATCTCTAAATAATATTTTCCTGTTGTGTCTAAACTTCTTATTTATAAGTATATAATTACACATGCAATTTGAGTGATTGTCTTATGTTTCTCCTAACTAGGCCTTCGAGACAGAGTATCTGTATTTTGACTTGGCTATATCTCTACCATCTTTTATAGAAGGTGCTTAATAAATGGTTATTGAATAAACGCAGTGGAAAAACACATAGAGGAAAGATTGCTATCACAGCAAGTTAAAACAAACCATTGAATTGGTTCAGGATAGAAATGTTTAGACTTTTTTAAGAGAGAGAGAGAGAGAGAGAGAGAGATTTTTTTTTTTTTAATATTTATTTCTTAGTTTTCGGTGGACACAACATCTTTGTTTGTATGTGGTGCTGAGGATCGAACCCGGGCCGCACGCATGCCAGGCGAGCATGCTACCACTTGAGCCACATCCCCAACCCCAAGAAATGTTTAGTTTTAAGATGAAGTTGTATAGTATGGATTGTTTATTAGGATCATTTTTTCATGAAATGGAGTATGGAGTGTTTGAAAACCCTGAAATATATTTTTTTAATCTTAAAAATTAATTTTTAGTGTTGCTTTTGAGTGCCATATTGATTACTGAATTTTTTTTTCTTTTCTTTTTTTTTTTTTTGGTGGGGGCGGGTACTGGGGATTTAACCAAGCCAGGGTACTATACCATTGAGGTACAGCCCCAGTTTTTCTTGAGACAGTGTCTCACTAAGTTGCTTAGGGCCTCTGTTTTAGTCAGCTATTTTACCGCTGTGACTAGAGGACCCGAAGAGAACAATTTTAGGGAAGAAAAGTTTATTTGAGAGTTCAGGGTTTCAGAGGTCTTAGTCCATAGAATGCTGTCTCCATTCCTCAGGGTTCAAGGTGAGGCAGAACATCATGGCAGAAGAGTGTGGCAGAGGAAAGCAGCTCACATGATGTTCCAGAAGCAAAGAGGGGTCTCCATTTGCCAGATACAAATATATACCCCAGAGCCATGCCTCCCAATTTCCACCTCCTCCAGCCATATCCTACCACTTCAGTTACCACTCAGTTAATCTCTGTCATGGGATTAATTCACTGATTGGGTTAAGACTCTCAAATCCAACTATTTCTCCTCTGAACCCTTCTTGCATTGTCTCACACATCAGCTTTTGGGGGACACTTCACATCCAAACCATAACAGTCTTGGTAAGTTGCTGAGACTAGCTTTGAATGAGTGATCCTCCTACCTCAGTCTCTCAAGATGTGGGGATTACAGGTGTGTGCCACTGTGCCTGGCTTGCTTCCCAATCTTTTGTATGTTTCTCTTCCTGCTCCCCTTTCCTGTTTTTTCTTCTAGACAACTTTTAAAATCTTTTCCATGATTATGTACATTGGTGTGGGTGTTGATTGACTCACTATACAATTTGGGTTAGGGATTTGTGTTCTCTGGTCTAGGAAATAATTTTTTACATTTTTTTCTGGGTGGCCGATACCTAGCTGTTTTTTGTTTTTTATTTAATTTTTTGGTTGTATATTGACACAATACCTTTGTTTCTTTTTTTAATTTTTATGTGGTGCTTTTTGAGGATCAAACCCAGGGCCTCACATGTGCTGGGCAAGTGCTCTACCACTGAGCCACAACCCCAGCTCCCCTAGATGTTTTTTTTTTTCTTTTGATTCTATCAATATTTAACCTTACGTTAGAAATCTTTTATAACACAAAAATTTTAAATATGATTTAAATATGTAGCTCATGCTTTTTTGTGCCTTGTTTCGTTATTTTTTAAAAAATTTTTATTTTAATTAGTTATACATGATAGCAGAATGCATTTTGAATCATTGTACACAAATGGAGCCCAGCTTTTCATTTTTCTGGTTATATATGAGGTAGAGTCACACCACATGTGCAGTCATATATGTACCTAGGGTAATGATGTTCATTTCATACCGCCATCTTTTCTACCCCCATGTTCCCTCCCTCTCCCTCCCTCCCCTTTACCTAAGTTTCAAAGTTCCTCTATTCTCCCCATGTCCCCCACCCCCACCTCCATTATGGGTCAGCATCCATTTATCAGAGAAAACATTCAGCTTTTGGCTTTTGGGGATTTTTTACTTTGCTTAGCATCATGATATTCTCCAACTCCATCCATTTATCTGCAAATGCCATCATTTCATTCTCATTTAGTGCTGTGTACTATTCTATTCTGTATATATACCGCATTTTTTTTTATCCATTCATTGATTAAAGGGCATCTAGGTTGCTTCTACAGTTTAGCAATTGTGAATTGTGCTGCTATAAACATTGATGCAGCTGTGTTACTGTAGTGTGCTGATTTTAAGTCTTTGGGTATAGACCGAGGAGTGGGATAGCTGGGTCAAATGGTGATTCCATTCCCAGTTTTCTGAGAAATCTCCATTCTGCTTTCCAGATTAGCTGCACCATTTTGCAGATCCAGCAGCAATGAATGAGTGTACCTTCCCCCCCATCCTTGCCAGCACTTATTGTTGCTTGTATTCTTGAAAACTACCATTCTGACAAGAGTGATATGAAATCTTGGAGTAGTTTTGATTTGCTGTGCCTTGTTTCTTTCACATCTCAGTCTTACTCAAATGTTGGTGATCCTTGGTTGAGGATTAAGCTTAAGAGAGTTAGGCTGTTACTGGTTGAAAATTCAGTGCATTGTGGTTTTGTGGCCTTACTTGTCTATTGCAGAAGTGGGGAAGTGGTTGCTTTTTAGATGCTTGGTGCTGGAGTAAAAGTATCTTACTTCTATTGCAGACTGTTAACAATCTCCCATGTTTTCAACCTTTATCCCCTATACCTCATCCTTGTCTGTCCTGGTCTCTGGTTTGGGTTTTGAACTTGTCTGCAGCCTGGGGATCAGTGGTGGAAGGCATATATCTACTTGGTTCTTTTCAGGATTTCAGATTGCAGTACTTAGATCTATTGTTTGCTTTTAACTTTTTCTCTTTTGCTTCTCCATCTGTCATCAAAGACTTTCAAGGTATATTGCAACCCTGGATATTCCTCTTAGATCATCAGACTTGTATATCCAGTTACTTTCTCAGTGTCTCTCTTTGATTATGTAATGGTATCTCAGAATTATACAAAACCAATCTCTTTTTTTAAAAAAACCCTAAATGTTTTCTTGTTTTGCTTATATAAATAAATGGGAACTCCACCTTTTTTTTCCCCCCTAAGGAAAGTAAAAGAACACACAAAACTTATTACATGCATAAAGCATGGGAGTACTAGACTCCAAACTCCAGTTTAAGTTGCTTAGATCAGAAACCTTGGTACCATCAACCTACTCCCTCTGACACTATACTATTTTAGGCCACTATAATCTCTTTCCTAAATTACTGTAGTCTTCTTGGTTTCTTTCTTGACACTCTCTTCAAATACTGTCATTCAGATCATGTCACTACTCAGACCCCTCCACCAGCATCCATAGAGTGGCTTGCAATGCCATTATTTCATCTGTCTCCCAGCCCCTTTGACCTCGCTCTCTTCCCCTGGTTCATTCAGTTCTTTAAATGCCCTGGCCTTTTAGTGATCTTTGTGCATGCTAGTAACTATTCCTCTCAGGGATTTTGCCATTGCTGTTTCATATGAAATGCCTTTCTCTCAAATACCTTACCTGCATGACTTAATTCCAAACCTCTTTCAAGTCTTTGCTCAAAGTGTACCCTGTCCCCTCCATATCCACATGGTGTGCTTTAAAAAATATTATTTAATGAAATACATCATACTTTGGGGTGTGTGCTGTCTTGTGTGATTTCACGGCATGTCCTTTTTACATTTAGTGCATTTGGTTGTTTCTGGTTCTTTTTTTTTTAATATTTATTTTTTAGCTTTAGGTGGACACAATATCTTTATTTTTATGTGGTGCTGAGGATCGAACCCAGTGCCTCACCCATGCCAGGTGAGTGCGCTACTACTTGAGCCACATCCCCAGCCCCCCCCCCTTTTTTTAATATTGTTTTAATTGTAGTTGTACATAATACCTTTATTTTATTTATTTTTATGTGGTGCTGAGGATTGAACCCCTGCCTCACATGTGCTAGGCAAGTGCTCTACCACTGAGCCACAACCCCAGCCCCTGTTTCTGGTTCTTGATATAACTGACAGTGCTGCATTGAGTGCTTGTCTTCTGGTGCATTCATTAACTTCTCCAGGGGGTGTATGTTGCTGGGAATGGGACTGAGAAGTAGTTTTTGCCCTGATTGTCACTACTCTGTAGTCCAGCTTGTTTTCTAAATGATTGTATAGATTTATACTCTTATTAGTAGTATATGAGAATTCTGTTGTTTCATATACTGAGTATGGAGGGTGTAAAATAGTTATCTTGTTTTTTCCCTTTTTTAAGTTGCCACAGTTTATATACTGAAAAATTCATTCTTTTTAGTGTATAAGTTTACTGCCTATGAGTTTTTTAAATCAATTTGATTCTTCCTTTCTTTTTTTTAAAAAATTTACTTATTCTAATTTATTACATATGACAGCAGAATGCAGTTCAATTCATATTACACATATAGAGCACAATTTTTCATGTCTGGTTGTATTTCCCTCCATTTTTTAATTGATGCATTACAGCTATAAATAATGGTGGAATTTGTTGTTATATATTTGTACACATACACGGTATAACAATGTGATTTGGCCAATATCATTCCCCAGTATTTCCCCCTTTCCTTCCCCTGGGCCCTTTCCTCTGTTCCACTAATCTCTCTTCTTTGATTTTCGCTGCCTTTCTTTTTCTTCTCTAGCTTTCACATGTGAAAGAGAACATAATAAGCCTTGGCTTATTTTGCTTAACATAATGTTCTCAAGTTCCATCCATTTTCCTGCAAATTACATTATTTCATTTTTCTTTATAGATGAATAAAACTCCTTTGTGCATATATACCACATTTTCTTTATCTATTCATCTTTATCATAAGTACCCAGGCTGGTTCCATAATTTAGCTATTGTGAATTGTGCTGCACAGATGGGTCAAATGGTGGTTCCATATCTGATCTCTTTTTCCGCTCCCCCAAATATATTTTTTTAGTTGTTGATGGACCTTTATTTTCTTTGTTTATATGTGATGCTGATAATTGAACCCAGTGCGTCACACATGCTAGGCAAGTGCTCCATCACTAAGCCACAACCCCAGCCCGCACTATGCCTAGTCTTTCGAGAAGCCTCCATACTGATTTCCTTATTGGTTTTGTTTACAATCCTACCAGCAGTGTGCACATCTTCTCCAGCATTTATTATTGTCCTATTCTTGATGACTGCCATTCTGACTTGTGTGAGATGAGATCTTTGTGTAGTTTTGCTTTGCATTTCCCTAATTGCTAATGTTGTTCAAAAAATTTGTTGACCTTTTGCATTCTTTTGAGAAATGTTTATTGGGATATATTTGTCTCATTTGATTACTTTAGTTCAAATTTGTTTTGACATTTATTTATTTTTAAATGAACTTAGGCTGGGCTAGTTAAGCCTTACTAGCCAAATTAGAATTGTATGCAACTTCTTTTTTTTTTTTTTTTTTTTTGGCGGTGCTAGGGATTGAACCCAGGGCCTTGTGCATGCAAGGCAAGCATTCTAACAACTGAGCTATAACCCCAGCCCAAAATTGTATGCAACTTTTATTCTTATGGTGCTGGAAATTGAACCCAAGGCCTTGTTCATGGTAGGTAAGTGCTCTACCACTGAGCTACACACCCAGCCCCTTATTTGATATTTTAGCAGTGCAGTTTAAATGTATGCTGTATATGACTTGAATGCAATTAGGATGATAAATGATGGTGCTAGCATACTTCCTCTTCCCCTTGAAAATTCAGCTGTACATTTATTAAAGTAAAATCCACCATATTTGGTGTATAATCTTGTGTTTTGACCAACATAGAGATAAATACTCAACATCATAATTCCATCACCCTGTAGTTCCATTATCCCAAATATCTGTCCATGTAATTCTTTGTTTTTATTTGTCTTTTTAAAATATTTTTTAGATGTTAATGAGCTTTATTTTATTAATTTATTTGTGGTACTGAGAATTGAACTCCTTGCCTCACACATGCTAGGCAATTGCTGTACCACTGAGCCACAACCCTAGCCCTTAGAGTGTGTTTTGACATGTTATACCCACATGGAGTATAACTTCTCATTCTTGTGGGCTGTACATGATATGGAGTAACACTGGTTGTGTTTTCATATGTGAACATAGGAAAGTTATGTCCAATTCATTCTACTGTCTTTCCTAGTCTCATCCCGTCCCCTCATTTTTCTTTTCCTTCATTCTCCTTTCTCTAATCCAATGAACTTTTATTATTCTTTTTCTTTTGGTACTGGGGATTGATCCCAGAGGTACTAACCAGTGAGCCACATCCCCCGCCCTTTTTTGTATTTTCTTCAGAGGCAGGGTCTCACTGTGTTACTTAGGGCCTTGCTTTTTGTTGAGACTGGCTTTGAACTTGCAGTCCTCTTGCCTCATCCCCTCAAGCTGCTGAGATTACAGTTGTATGCCACAGTGTCTGGCAGAGCTGCTATCTTCCCCCATCCCTTGTTGTGTGTTAGCATCTGCATATCAGAGAGAATAGTTGGCCTTTTGTTTTTTTGAGATTGTCTTATTATTTCACTTAGCATAATACTCTCCATTACCATCCATTTGCCAGCAAATGCCATAACTTCTTTCTTCTTTATGGCTGAGTATTATTCCATTGTGAATATTTGACCATATTTTCTTTATCCATTCCTCTGTTGAAGGGGACCTGTGTTGGTTACATAGATTAGTTATTGTAAATTGAGTCGCTATAAACATTGATGTGGGTGGGCATGGTGGCAAATGCCTGTAATCCCAGTAGCTGGGGAGACTGAGACAGGAGGATCGAAGGTTCAAAGCCAGTCTCAGCAGCGAGATGCTAAGCTACTCAGTGAGCCTCTGTAAATAAAATAAAAAATAGGGCTGGGAATGCTGCTCAGTGGTTGAATGCCCCTGAGTTCATTCCCAGGCACCCCCCATGCTGCCAAAGAAAATAAATAATTGATGTGGCTGCATCACTGTAGTATGCCGATTTTAAGTCCTTTGGGTATAAATGGAGAAGTGGGATAGCTGGTTCAAATGGTGGTTTCATTCCAAGTTTTCTGAAGAATTTCCAGTACTGCTTTCCTGAGTGGTTGCACCAATTTGCAGTCCCACCATGTATTTCTGTAGTCATCCTCACTTCCCATCCCCATCCTCACTGATTTTTTTTTTGAGTTGCTGCAGTTATATCTTTTCAAGAAAGTGACGTAAGTGGAATGATACATCATGTGGGCACTTTGAGTCTGGAATCCTTTTTTTAGTTTAAGGATTTGAATTTATGCTGCCACTATATTTACAGTTCATTCCTTTGTGTTGCTCCATGGTATCCCATTGGATGGTTTACCACCTTTTTTTTTTTTTTTTGGTGCTGGGGATTGAACCCACGGCCTTGTGTATGCAAGACAAGCACTCTACCAACTGAGCTATATGTCATCCCCAGCCCCTTTACCACATTTTACTTAACCCATTTCTTAGTTGAAGGTCAATTTGGTTGTTTCTTCCTCTTGGCTGTTATCAGTAATGCTGCTCAGAATATTTGCATGACAGATTTTGTGTGGATGCCCAGTTTCATTATTCTTAGGGAGTGAAATTGCTAGGTTTTGTGTTAATTTCTGTTGAATTTTTTAGGAATCAGCCAAACCATTTTCCAAAGTAGCTTTATCATCTTAGATTCAAGTTTTGTTTTTTTTTCCCCTCTATCTAGCAATTTTTTAAAATCTACTTTGGTGTCGATGTAGGCAATCTAACCCTCCCACTCACTTTAAAAGCATTTTTTTTTTTTTTTGCTTTTCTTGGTGCATTATAAATATGCCTAATATTGGAATTTATTATGTCATTTTTGTACATGTATGTAATTTGATCAGTCTCATTCCCTAGTACCTTCTTTTCCCCTATTCTCCTTTCTCTCCCATTCACTTGCTCTACTCTACTGATATCCTTTCTATTATTATTTTAATCCTATGTATATACATGTGTATGCAGAATTCACTGTAGTGTGTTCATACATGGACACAGCATAATTTTGGTAGATTTCATTTCCTAGTACTTCCCCATACCCCCCCTCTCCTCCCTCCCTCTTGATCCTTTTCCTCTCCTCCATTGGTCTTCCATTTATTTTCATGAGATATCACCCCCTTTTATTTATTTCTTTAAAAAAAGAAAAAGCAAAAAATTTCTGTAGCTTCAGCCTAGTTGGATCTTAGTTTTTTTTTCCTATGTCATCTAATGATCCTCCACCTTTTATTTGATATGCGTAGACCATGAACATCTAATGTAATTATTGATATGTTTCAGTTAACCATCAAATTATCCTTTTAGTATTCCCTTTTATTGTTATTAGAATTAAATAGCAATTGATATGAAATTTAAGATCCTTACAATGGTTTTCCGTTTACCCCCTCTTGATCTGTATGCTAGTCTTTTCATATACATTTTACTTTTCCATAGGTTATATATTTCATGGAACATCATCAATGCTTTTGCTTTAAACATTTCTTTTTCTTTTCCTGTGCTAGGATGGAATCCCTAGGGTCTATTTAACATGGAGCTGTATTTCCAGTCCTTTTTGTTTTGTTTTGAGATAGGGTCTTGCTAAATTGCCAGGCTGGCCTTGACATTGCAGTCCTCCTGCTTTAGCTCCCTGGATAGCTGGGATTACATGTGTGTGCCACCAAGCCCTGATGAACTTTTTTTTTTTTTTTTTTTTAATTATAGTTGTAGATGGACAGAATGCCTTTATTTTATTTGTTTTTAATGTGGTGCTAAGGATTGAACCCAGTGCCTCATGCATGCTAGGCAAGCACTCTACACTGAGCTACAGCCCCAGCCCAACTTTTTTTTTTTTTAAGAAATTTTAAAAGAAGGGAAGTCTTATTTTCACTTACATACTTGCCTTTTGTGGTGGTGTTCATTCCTTAGGAAGTGTCCATTTGTTATTTTCCTTAAGAACTTTATTTAACATTTCTTGTAGTGCAGGTCTGTTGTGCCGTATTCTCTCAGCTTTTCTTAGTATGAAAAGTCTTTATTTTGCCCTAAAGGATATTTTTACTAGAAACAGAATTTTAAGTTGAAAGGTTATCCATCCCCACCATCCCCAAACATTTTAAGGCGCTAATTCTTTGTCTTCTGGTTTGCATAATTTGAGATAAGTCTATGGTGATGCTTATCTTTGTTTCACTTTTTGTGTGGTTATTTATTATTATTTTAATATTGTTTAGTTGTCAATGGATCTTTATTTATTTATTTATTTATTTATTTATTTATTTATTTATTTATATGGTGCTGAGAATCAAGCCAATTGCCACGTCCGTGCAATGAGCCACAACCCCAGTTTGTTTTGAGAAATGGTCTGTGTTGGTCTGTGTTACCCAACCTGGTCTAAGTCTCCTGGGTTCAAGATTTCCCATGGTTAAAATTTATTTTCTGTTCAACAGTTTGATAATTTGCTTTGCATGTACTTTGGTTAGCTTCTTAGATCTGTAGTTCAGATTTGAAATTTGAATTTTCAGCTATTATTTTTTGAAAAAAAAAAATTCTGGATTCCTAGTAACATGCATTTTGCCCACTTTATTTTTCCCCTTAAGTTCTGAATTTTTCCTTGTGTTTTATTTTGGATATTTTCTGTTGCAATTCTAAATTTACCTTACCTTTTTTTCTTTAGGGTCTAATTTTTGTTAATCTCATCTTTTGATGTTTTCATTATATGCATCATATTTATCTTTGGAAGTTCCTCATTCCTTATTTTATACCATGCATTCTCTTTATATTTTCCTTTAATCCTTAATCATCAAGTATGTTTATAGGAGCTGTTTTAAATCTCTGTCCTTTAATTATACCTCCTATGACATGTTTGGGTCTGTTTCTATTGACTGATTATTCTCCTGCTTATAAATCACATTTTCTTGGCATTTTGGCATATCCAGTTTTTCTTGGATGCTGAACAATATGAGTTTTACATTTTTGGGTGCTGTGATTGATTTTCCTTTCAAGACTGTTGAGTTTTATTTTGGCAGTTTACTCATAAATTAGTTTATTCCTTTTTGCGGGGGCAGTAACAGAGATTGAACTCAGGGGCATTCAACCATTGAGCCACATCCCCACCCCAATTTTGTATTTTGTTAGATATAGGGTCTTACTGAGTTGCTTAGCGCCTCGCCATTGCTGAGGCTGGCTTTGAACTCACGATCCTCCTGCCTCAGCCTCCTCCCAAGCCATTGGTATTACAGGCATGCGCCACTGTTCCCAGCTTAGTTTATTCTTGCTTTTAAGTTTTGTTAAGGCAGGTCTGGAGAATAGGCTAATTGTAATTCTAAGGTTTTTCCATTCTGGGATCTCTGTCAAATGTCCTGGATTTTCAGTTTCTCCACTCTTGTTGGTCTCAGCTTTATGTCTCATAGACTTTTGTTTGCTATGGAAAATTTCTGGCCATTCACTTACCCAGCCTTGTAGAGTTTGGCCTTATACATACAGAGACTTCATGCTGATTTCTGGAGGTCCTTTTCTGCATAGCTTTCTCCTCTTTTGAATTGTCAGCCTCAGTATCTGTCTCAGCTCAGGAAAAGCACTAAGCTCTGCTTGTGGTGCCCCATTCTTCTTTGTAGCCTGGATTGTGCCTCCAGGCAGAAAACTGGGGAAATTGTAGAATTCTTTATCTTCTCTTCAGGATCACAGTCTTCTGCTGCCTGTTTATAATATTGGAAACAGTTGTTTTGGAGCTGGATTTGTAGCTTATGGTAGAGTGCTTTCTTGCCTAGCATATATGAGGCACTGGGTTCGGTTCACAGCACATATAAACAAAAATAAGGGTCCATCGGCAACTTTAAAAAAAAAATATATATATATATTTAAAAAACCAGTTTTTTGATGTATTTTTTTCCATTTCTTAGTTGTTTATAGTAGGAGAGTAAATTTGGCAACTACTTATTAGTCTGTTACGAACATTTCTGCATGTGTGTGTAATATTTCATGAACTCTTACTGATAATTCCAGTTCTTTTTTAAAAAAATATTTTTAGGGGTTGGGGTTGTGGCTCAGCGGTAGAGTGCTTGCCTAGCATGTGTGAGGCCCTGGGTTTGATCCTAAGCACCACATAAAAATAGATAAAAATAAAGAGCTAAAATATTTTTTAAAATTTATAATTTTAGTTGTAGGTGGGCACAATACCTTTATTTATTTTTATGTGATGTTGAGGATCGAACCCAGTGCCACACATGTTCAAGGTGAGCATTCTACCACTGAGCCACAACCCAGCCTTGATAATTCCAAGGGTTTTTGTTTTTGTTTTGAGGTACTGAGGATTATACCCAGAGCCTTGTGCATGCTACCTCTGAACTACATCCTTAGCTCTTTGAGATGGAGTCTTGCTAAGTTGCCCAGGCTAGCCTCAAACCTGCCATCTTTCTGCCTCAGCAAACGCCCCCAACCAAGCTGGGATTACAGGTGTGCACCACTGTGTCTGGCTAGACTCTAGGGATTTTACTTGACGTCTTTTGTCTTACATGTGTGTATGTCTCTTCTCTATGAGGAACTTCTGGTTTCCGTCAAGACCACATAATTACTCATTTACTTTTTCCAGCAATACACAACAATCTTAGAAAACCAATACTAGTACTATCACTTGATTACCTTAAGTGTTTTTGTTCTTATTAGCCTAAGGGTTTATCTCACTAGGAATTTTACAAGTTACTTTAAAATCACTAGAAAAAATATGGTTATACATCTACTTGATTGAAGCACAGCTTGATTCATTTACTTTTTAAAAAGGCATTGCTTTCATAAATGTTAATTTTGCTTTATAATTGTACATGAGGTTTATTCAATGAAGTCAGCTCATGCAATTCCTTCCCCTATTTAGTTTTCTTATGGATAATCTTATTTATTTTTTATATTTTTCTTTTTAAAAGTATAAAAAATAGCATTTGTATCTTTTTTTTTTAGAGTGACATCATAGACACATTTCCCACTTTACTTTTTAACTTAACATCTCTAGGACATCACTTCATAACAATAAGTAGAGATTGTTCATAGTGGCAAAGTACAGCATTTTTTGTTTACTACTGTTCTTTCTTCATCAGAATATGATCCATAGGCCAGTGTTCGTGAACTATCTTTCCTGATTGTGATAAGTGTAGAAATTGGGAATAAATATTTAGAAACTTTTATAGCAATTTGACACTGCCAGAGCACAATCTATGAAATCAGCAGTTCTAGCTTAGGCTTTTTAAGTGAGCCAGGTGCAGTAGGACCATATATTGGTCTTGGATAAACTGGGAAAAAAGCCCCAAATTGATTCTTTACCCCAGTTAGATTGGGAAAGGACTGTGTTTATCCTGTATTCCTACTGGTAGACACAACCCCATAAATTTTACCATTTATTATTTAATTTTTCATTTTGTGGTGCTGGGGATTAAATCAATATATGATTTTTATATTTTTTTGAATCCTAAGTATTTTGAAATTTTTAATTCATGAATTAAAGTGTATTGGCAGGGAGGGGGCACACCAGGGAATCAAACCCAGGGACACTCTACTACTGAGTTATATCACTAGACCTTTTTATTTTAAGATAGGGTCTCAATAAGTTACCCATGCTGGCCTTGAGCTTGATCCTCCTGTCTCAGCCTCCCAAGTAACTGGGGTTATAGGGGTGTGCCACTGCACCCAGCTACTTTTGCAGTTTTAAATTTCCCAAAGCTAGGCATTAACCAAAAAGTTTTATAGTAGTTATTACAATTTTCTTTCTTTTCCATGGCTTTTTACATCCCATTCCTGTGTTCTGTGCTGAATTTCTTTCAAATATTAATAAATATCATTTGTAAATTTCTTTCAGTAAAGTTCTGTGGGTAACATTGTATTTTGAATATCTTAAGGCCTTGATTTTGTCTTTGCTGTCTGGGACTTTTTTAGCTGTGATGACATTTCAACTATTTAGTGATTTTTAATTGATGGTAGTTTTTTTTTTTTAATTCAAGGATGTCATTCTTTTGTTTTCTAACATCTGTTTTTGCTTTTGAGAAGTAGGCTAACAGTTTTTATGGTAACTTTTCTTCTTTGGTTGCTTTTAATTTTTTTTTTTTTTTTTTTTTTTTTAAATAATGACTGTGCATTGTTGCTACAGTGTATGTTTGAGTAGGTCACCATGCAGTCTGAACCCTTGTGCCTTCAGTTTTAGCCAACATAGCTTTCCTGCCCCCACCTTTAAATTTTTAGTTGTAGATAGACTCAATACCTTTATTTTGTTTATTAGCTTTATGTGGTGCTGAGGATTGAACCCAGTGCTTCACACATGCTAAGCAAGTGCTCTACACTGAACCACAAAACCCAGCCCCCTGGTTCCTCTTTTGACATTTATATTTTTGCATGTTAAAATTTCTCACTCTGAGTTGGAGATGTAGCTTGGTGGTAGAATTTTTGCCTAGCATGCTCAGGGCCCTGGGTTCAATCCCAGCACTGGAGAAAAAACAAAATTTGAAATTTCTCCTTCTGACCTAGGTGTGGTGGGTGGTGGCACAGCTTCTCGGGAGGCTGAGATATGAGGATTGCAAAGTTCCAGGCCAGCTTGGGCAACTTAACAAGACTCAGTCTTAAAATTAGAAAAAAAAAAAAAATTTTTTTTTTAAAGGGTTGGGGATGTAGCCCAGTGGTAGAGCACTCACTTGCCTAGGTTGTGGGAGGCCCTCTGTTCAGTCCTCAGTACCACTAAGAACAACTGTTCACTCTCTTATACTTTTCATATTTTCCATCCCTTTACTTTTTTGTGTTTCATTCTGTTAGATTTTTTTTTTCAGACCAATAATACAATCTACTAACTCCTCAGGTTTGACTGAACGTTCCAGGTTATCACTTTAAAAAAAAAAAAATTTGTTGTTGTTGTAGATAGGTCTTTATTTGCTTATTTTTATGTGGTGCTAAGGATTAACCCATTGCCTTACACATTGTAGGCAAGCGCTGTCACTGAGCTATAGCCCTAGCCCTAACTTTTTTATTTCTAGATTTTCTGATTATTTTTGAAAATTGTTCATTATTTATTTCTGTTGTGGCTTTTATTTATTTTTTTTTAACTTCTGCATGTTTTAAGCACAGTTATTTTAAAACCTCTTTATTGTTCTGCCTAGATCTCTAAGTTTGCCTGTTTTGTGCAGTGAGCCCACTCTACCTTTGTTGGTTCATTTCTTTATGTAGTTTGCAATTGTGATTTAAATGTTTATCATCAGTGGGATTCATTTAAAAAACATTTTTTTTGTAGTTGTATATGGACAGAATGCCTTTATTTTATTTATTTTATGTGGTGCTAAGGATCGAACCCAGTGCCTCACACTTGCTAGGCAAGCGCTCTGCCACTGAGCTACAGCCCCAGCCCATTGGGATTCATTTTTAAAATTTTAAAAAATTTTTAGTTTTTAAATTTATGATTATTTTTTTTTAGTTTTCAATGGCCTTATTTATTTATATATGTGGTGCTGGAAATCGAATCCAGTGCCTCACACACGCTAGGCAAGTACTCTATTACTAAGCCTCAGCCCCAGTCCGTGGGATTCATTTTTTTTTTTTTTTTTTTGTGAGTCATAGTGTAGAGGTATCCCTCTAGGGAATACCTAGAGTGTTTTGAATTTCAGCTGAACCCAGCAGGTTTCTTTAGAGCCACACTTGTCTGATAGGCTAATTTGACATTGGGTTTCTGAACCATTTGGATAGTGTGATTCTGGAACCCATACCTGTGATAGGGAATTTTGTTTTTTCAGAGGTGACTTTTTCACTCTGATTTCTGGCAAACAGTAAATTTCTTTTCCATGGATTGGAGGTTGAAATTCATTTTATTCAACTGTGCAGTTTTGGGGGCTTTGGTATCTTATATTATCTAACTTATTTTCAGTTTCTTTTCTCCTAGTCACCGGCAGGCATTAAAACACCTGTCTGGAGCAGTACTTATATCTGGCTTTAGTTATTTGGCTTTGAGTAATTTCATTGTTTCTAGCCTCAGGGCATTTCCCTTTCTTGCTTTTGGGTTAGTTTTGTTGTATTTTCATTGCTTTTCTATGTACTTGGGTTTGAAGCAAGTGTTTTTCTGTGTCACCACACCTATCTTTTGTATTTAGTGGAAGATCTATGACACTTACATTTTGTAAAACAGGTATAATTCGCTAAAACAGAAGTTTCTGAGTTTTATCCGACTCGTGGTGTGGATGATATAGCTGTGTATAGCTGAGGTTGTTTTAACTTACCCATAAAGCACTGTGTAAGGCTGCAAGGGTGTATTTGTTTATATCATCAATGAATCCTTTGCAACTTGATGGATCACAGTGTCTTTGATTGCCTTGTTCTTTAGCACAGTTCTTTCTCATCAGCAGTTATTGTGAGAAAGGAGCTCCCTTTGAGAATCACTGCAATGGCTCACTGTTGCTCCCACAGGAGTTTGAATATATCTTAGGATAGAGAAATGATTTCCCCATCTTATAGTGATCTAATTCTCACCTATGCTGGCTGAATGGGCAGATGCCCAAATCTATGTCTCTAATTCAAGAACACTAGATCTGCATATTGAATAGGACATTTCCGTTCAAAGATTCTGCTGGTGTTTCAAATTCATCTTGTATTTTCTCAATGCTGTAAGTCAGTCTTCCGCTCATGTTCTGTTTCTGTCTATGCCATCACTCTCTTCTCAGCAACCAAATTATTCTTCATTTCTTCACTTCTTTTTCTTTTCATATATGCACGCAGCTATTAATCAAGCCAGTTTTTTCTCATAGTGTTTTAGCTTTCCATCACAGTGACAAAGTTGAATTAATGAGCCTATAGAGAGAAGAGGTCTGTTTTGGTTCAAAATTTTGGAGGTTTTCAGTCCAGGATTGGTTGGCCTTATCACTTTGGTTTGTGGTGAGTTGGCTCATCTTGGTGGGAACATGTGGTGGAGCAAAATTGCCGACCTCCTTGCCCTTATGCAAAAAGAGTAAGGGACCAGGATCCCATAGTCCCCTTCTAGGAAGTGCCACTGATGGCCTAAAACCTCCCATGAGGCCCCCACCTTTTCTTACGATGCCTTAGTAATACTGAGCTGGGGACCAAACCCTGTAATGCATGTGCCCTTGGGGGACATTTCTGATATAAACTAGAGTATATAGTAATTCTGTTTTTCTCTTTTCATGACAGTATCAGGGTGATATATCCCATGTAAAAATCTTTCTTGATTTCTCCTAATATTTTTCTTGGGATAAAGAGACTGTCACATGGTCTCTCAGTTCAGACTGAGTGAGACCTTACCTTCTTATCCTCCTTTCTCATCCTAAATTTTGATTTTACAAAATGTCCTGTTGGTGGCTTTTGGGGGATATTTTTCTTTAGGCATAATAGGGCATAATTAAAATAAGAACCAGAAATGTATGTACCATTTTTGTTCTGTTTTGAATGAGATAGTATATCATTATGAAATTGTATGTATGATGGTCACAAGTTAGGGGGTGGCATATGGTTGGCTGATTTGGGTGTTAGTCATTAACTGACAATATGACTTTAATAAATTACTGCTACCTCTAGGTAGGCTTGGATTTCATCATCTATAAAATGAGAGGTTGAGTTAGGTGATTTTTTTTTTTTAATTGTTAATAGACCTTTATTTATATGCAGTGCTGAGAATCGAACCCAGTGCCTCACACATGCTAGGCAAGCACTCTACAACCCCAGCCTAGAATTAAGTGATTTTTTTATAGTTAATATTTTTTGAACTCTTTAATTTGTTCAAGAAACTGGGCTAATGACTTTTTATATATTGTCATTTAAAAAAATTTATTTGAAATTAATTCCAAACTCTGAAAAGTACAAAAAACTTCATATTCCATTCATCCAGATCAATTTCTTTATAACATTTAACTTTTGTTAGGATTGGATATTAAAAATTTTCAAATGCTTTTTCCATAGCTGCTTGGACTAATATATGATTTTTTTTTTTGTGTAGTCTGAATATTTAAATTGTATTTCTGGGATAAAGCTCTCTTGGTCATGATCTGTTGTCCTTTTATATATTATTGGATTTGATTTGTCAAAATTTATTAACAATTTGCTGGGTGTGGTGGTGCATGCCTGTAATCCCAGCAGCTCAGGAGGCTGAGGCGCGAGAATTGGGAGTTCAAAGTCAGCCTCAGCAAAAGCGAGGTGCTAAGCAACTCTGTGAGACCCTGTCTCTAAGTAAATACAAAATAGGGCTGGGGATGTGGCTCAGTAGTCAAGCGCCCCTGAGTTCAGTCCTTGGTACAAAAAAAGAAAAAATATATATATTAACAATTTATTAACAGTTTCTGCATCTATGTTTATAAGGCATATTAATATTAGTCTGTAATTTTCTGGTAATATATTTGTCTGCTTTTCATATAATAATAATAATGGTGTCCTTGTAGAATGAATTGAGAAGTTTTTCCTCTTTTTAAATTTTCTGAAAGGCTTTGTATAGAATTGATATTATTGGTTCCTTAATTTGGTGGAATTCATCAGTGGAGCCATCTCAGCTTAGAGATCTTTAATTATGAATTCAATTTTTTTCCCAAAATAGAGCTATTTAAATTATCTGTTTTTCCTCTCCCTCCTTCATGCTTTACTTCTGAACTGTCATCCCAGCCCTTGATTTTGAGACAAGAGTGCTTCTAAGTTGCTGAAGCTGGCCCTGAACTCACAATTTTCTTGTTTTAGTCTCCTCAGTCACTGGGATTACAGGGCTTTCCACTGCAGCTGTCAGTTTCTCTTCTTAAATGAGCTTCCATGTCCTTTAAGGATTTTGTCCATTTCACCTAAATTGTTGAAATTATTGATAAGGGTATTCCTAAATATATCTGGAACTGTCGTTGTCTCCACTGCTTTCCTGATGTTGGTAGTTTGTCTTTGTATCTGATTAGTCTGACTAAAGGTCTGTTAATTTTAGTTGTATTCACAAAAACCAGATGTTGATTTTATTTGTTTTCTGTTCCATCGATTTTTGCTCTTTCATAATTTTTCCTTGATTTGGATTTAATTTGCTCCCTTCTCTTTCCCATTGTTTCATGATGGAAGCTTAAGGTCATTTATTTGCCATCTTTCCTTTTTTGGAAGGAAGACTTTTAATGCATATGACATTTTGATATATTGTGCTTTAATTTTCATTCAGTTCAAAATATCTAATTTTTGTTTTTATTTCTTCTTTAACGTGTTTAAAATTGTGGTTAGTTGTTTCCTACTATTGGGGAATATCCAAAGATCTTTTGTTAGGGATTTCTATTTCCACGTGATATGTACCGTATATTGTATATTTTGAATCCTTTAGAGTTTATTGTTTGGGGCTGGGGATATAGCTCAGTTGGTAGAGCGCTTGCCTCTCATGTATGAGGCCCTGGGTTCAATCCCCAGCACCCCCCCCCCAAAAAAAAAAAAAAGAATTTATTGTTTTATGGCTAAGAATAAGGTAGTTCTTGATAAATGTCCCATGGGTACTTGAATATGTATTCTGATGTTAGGTGGGGTGTTCTGCAAATGTTTATTAGCTTATTGGTTGGAAATGTTCAGGTCTTTTGTGTTCTTACAGATTTTCTATCTGTTCTATCAATTACAAAGGGGATGTTGAAATTTCACTGTGAATTTGTCTATTCTTTCAGTGTTGTCAGTTTTTGCTCATGAATTTTGAAACTCACTTATAAAGTACATTATAGGATTGTCCTCTTCAAGAATTGTCATTTTGAAACAACCTTCTTCATCTCTGGTAATAGTATTTTATCCAAAATATATTTTGTCTCCTAATCATAGCCCCTCTGGCTTTTATTCAATTAGAGTTTGCTTGGTATTATGTTTTTACTTACAACCTGTGTCTTTATATTTAAGGTGAGGATTTTACAGTCATCACATAATTGGTTCTTGTTTTTTCCAATTTAACAATTTCTGCCTTTAACTATTTTTTTAGTTGTAGATGGATACAATATCTTTATTATTCTTTTTTTATTTGTTTATTTTTACGTGGTGCTAGGGACTGAACCCAGGGCCTCACGCATGCGAGGCAAGTGCTCTACCACTCAGCTACAACCCTAGCCCCTGAATATTGATATTATAAGAGTTTAAATCTATCCTCATTAGTTTTCTTTTTTTGTCTTGTCTGTTCTTTGTTCCTGTTTTCTTTTCTCCTTTTTTTCTGGATTGAGGATTTTGTTATGGTCTCATTTTCAACTCTGTTTTGGGTTCATTAGCTTGTACTTGTTTTAGTGATTGCTTTAGTGTTGGATACAAGTTAAATAACTTGTCACAGTCTACCTTTAATGTTACACTACTTCACCTGTATTACAAGATCTTACAGCAGTGTACTTTATTCTCCCCTCCTCAGTTCGTTATTTTTGTCATACACATCTCTTCTATGAATATTGTAAACTTCACAATGCATTATTGTTATTTTTTATTTAAACAGTGATTTTTTTTTTTAATTTTTTTTTTTTATGGGCCCGAGAATTGAACCCAGGGCTTGTACATGCTAGGCAAGTGCTGTATCACTGGGGCTGGCTACACTACCAGCCTCAGTGATTATCTTTAAAAGGACTTTAAAAATAAGAAAAAAAGTGTTTTATGTTTGCCCACATATTTCTCATTTCCAATGTTGTTCATTGCTGCATAGATCCAGGTTCCCTTCTGGTATCATTTTTCTGTCAGAGAACTTCCTTTAATGTTTATTGCAGTGCAGGTCTACTGGTGATGATGGTATTGTTAAGTTTTGTATGTTTGAAAAAGTACTTCCCTTTCTTTTTAGAAAGATATTTTCACTTGATACAGATTCTGGGTTGAGTCTTTTTCCTTGTACTTTAGAAATGTTTCTCCATTGTGTCTGAGTTGCATTATCTCTAGTGAAAAATCTATCATTTTAATTATTCTGAGTAAGTGATGTATCTTTTTTGCTTCTCTGATTCATTTTAAGATTTTCTTTTTATCATTGCTCACCAGCAGTTGATACCTGGATTTTGTCATGTCAAGCTTCTTGGATCATATTTGGCAAATATTCAGCTGTTACTCATGAGAAATATTTCTCCTATACTTTTCCACTCCACCCCATCTGGAGACTGTAATTACATGTCTATGTGGCTGCTTTAAATTGTCCCAAAACTCACTTATATGCTGTTCATATTTTTTCTATTTTTTGCTTGCTTTGTTTTGGGAAGTTTCTATTGATACATCCTTAAGTTCATTAATCTTTTTCTTTGCAGTGTTTTTGTGTTACTAGTTATTGAATCTGGGGGACTTTTGCTTCTAAGTTACATCCCCTGTCCTTTTTATTTTTTATTTTGAGACAAGGTCTTACTAAGTTTCTGAGGCTTACCTCAAACTTGTTATCCTCCTGCCTCAGCTTCCCAAATAGCTGGGATTACAAGCATGTGCTGCCACACCAGATTTAAAACTGCTGTTCATTCCATCCAGACATTGAATATTTTTAATCTCTTGAAGTTTAGTTTGGGTATTAGAAGGTTTTTTTTGTTTTTAATTCTTACATGCCTCTACTAATACGCTCAATATTGAACACATGAAATAAAGTTATAACAACTGTATTCACATTATTTTCTACTAATTGTATAATTTTTTTGTGTGTGTGTAGCTGGGGATTGAATCCAGGGCCTTGTGCACTCTACTGACTGAGCTGTATTCCTGGCCCTAATTGTATCATTTTGTAGTCTGTTTCTATATGTTTTTTTCCTTTCCTTTATGGGTCAGATTTTCCTGGTTCCTTGCATTCCTAATAATTCTTCTTCTTCTTCTTTTTTTTTTTTTTTTTTTTTTTTAAGAGGAGAGAGAGAGAGAGAATTTTTTTTTTTTTTAATATTTATTTTTCAGTTCTCGGCAGACACAACATCTTTGTTTGTATGTGGTGCTGAGGATCGAACCCGGGCCGCACGCATGCCAGGCGAGCGTGCTACCGCTTGAGCCACATCCCCAGCCCCCTAATAATTCTTGACTGGAAGACAGATACTGTGAATTTTACTTTGGGTCCTCTATATTTTTTTTATTACTGGTAGTATTTTTGAGTTTTTTCTGGAATGTGCATAAGTTAGTTGGAAACATCCTTTGAGGCTCCCGTCCCCCTTTTTGTTTTTTAGGCAAGATCTTGTTAAGTTGCTGAGGCTGGCCTTGAACTTGCTATCTTCCTGCATTGGTGGGATTACAGGCATGCACCACCATGCCCAATTTGAGTCTTCCTTTTACACTTTGTTGAGGTTTATCTTTTCTGTGTTTATTTTTCTAAGGCTATGTGGATATGTTATTTCCTTTTCTTTCTTTTATAAAAGTAGTCTGTGAAGTTTTTTTTTTTTAATTGTCAATGGACCTTTATCTTATTTATTAACTTATTTGTGGTGCTAAGAATTGAATCTAGTGCCTCACATATGCATTTGTACTTAATAGCTGTCCTAAGCAACTCAGTGAGACCCTGTCTCTAAATAAAATACAAAATAGAGCTGAGGATGTGGCTCAGTGGTCGAGTGCCCCCGAGTTCAATCCCTGGTGTCTGTTCCCCCCAAAAATTACTCCCTTAATGGTACTTAAAATTTTTTTTTGAGGGTTTGGGATTGTGGCTCAGTGGTAGAGTGCCCACCTAGCACGTGCAAGACCCTGGGTTTGATCCTCAGCACCACATAAAAATAAATAAATAAAGGTATTGTGTCCAACTACAACTAAAAAAATAAATATTTTAAAAAAATTTTTTGAACTCAAATCCACAGCCTCTTTTTATTGATACATTATATCACATAACTACAAATATAGGTGAACATATGTTGTTTTACATATCCATTGTGAAATATACCCTAAAATAGAATTTTTTAAATATTAAGAAATTGTACTATATTTTAAAAATTACTAGATAATATTTGGCTAAAATTATTACATGATAGTGGATATACTGTATTTCAGTAGGCTTATCTAATTTTGAATGATTTGGACTACCTCCTTTCAGATGTGAGTTGATCACATCATTGATTTTATGTTGGAACATGATTGATGTTGACTTGGCAGCCCTATTGGATCCCTTCTTGTACTGTGGGAGTTCTCTTTTTTCTTACTTGAATAAATCCTACACTTGAAAAGAAAAAAAGTTGCTGTAAAATTGTTAGCTCTGCTGTTTTCTTAGTGTTCCTGGTACTGGCATTAAATCTAGACTGCCTTTTCTTTATGATCATATCTTTAAGTCAGGTTAAAAACTAAATTAATAGAGCTGGATATAGTGGCATGTGCCTGAAATCCCAGCCACATGAGTAGTGGAGGGTAGATGATCATAAGTTGAATCCCACCCTGGGCAGTATAGTAAGACCCTGTCTCAAAAAACTAGGTAATAAAGTTAGTTAATGCACCTAACTGTGGCATATGAAATATACTTGGAGAAAGATGACTGATTTTCAGAATACAGAATATGATTTAGGATTGACATGGTCACCCATACACTGAATCAGTGTACTAAGTGAATGGAACATGAGTTCTTGTTTTATCTTTGTATTGAAAATTCCATTTTGCTGTTGCTGACTCCTTCAATAGAGATATCTCTGCCTGATGGTTGAGGCTCTCCTGATAATTCTGTGTTATGTATGGTTTTTTTTTTTTTTTTTATCAGTTGGCTTTTGCTGTGTAACTTACCTTCCCAAAACTTGGAGCCTTAGAACCACTGTTATTTTACTCATTACGCTTTTGGCTGCATTGGCTGTTTTCTCCATTTGGACTGGCTCAAATTATTTGAGATTAGCCGGACTGGGTTTACTAATGAATCTGTGGTCAGCTGGAGGCTGGATGTGTTAGGCAGATTTCTAAGATGAATCCTTTTTTGTTGTTGTTGTTTTGTTTTTTAGTTTCAATGGGTATTTATTTATTTATATGCACGGAGCTGAGATTCGAACCCAGTGCCTCACACATGCTAGGCAAGTGCTCTACCACTGAGCTACAACATAGTTGTAGTTGCAAAACCATCTTAGGGCTAAAATGATTTTGGAAAACCCCTATGTCCTTGTATGATCTTTTCCCCTGGTATGTGGATTGACAACTGTAGTTTGCTTTACACCAGCAGGATATAGAAAGGTGGAGAGATTTTGCATATGTGATTAATTAAGATCCCCCATTCAGTCATGGGTAGGCCTGAACCAATTAGGTGAGTTAATCTAAAGTACAGAGATGAGAGAAGTGAGCAATTCTGCTGGCTTTGGAGAAGTTGTGATGGATGAGAGAACCTCACGTCAGGGTCTGGGGGTTCTTGGGAGCTGAATGCAGGTCTTAGCTGATAGCCAGCAAAAAGTGATCTTAATCCTACAACTGCAAGAATTTGTTTCTCCCAATAACCTTGTGAGCTTGGAGCAGGGCACTGAGTTCCAGAAAGAAAATCAGCCCAATTGACACCTTGATTTGGATTTTATGAGACCCTGAGGAGGAGGCCCAGCTCAACTGTACCCAGACTTCTCACCCATGGAAACTGGAGATAATAAATGTGTGTTGTTTCAGCCACTAAATTTATGGTAACTTGTTATGTAGCAGTATAAAACTAGTATACTGGGTAGTCTAGGGCACTCCTTTGACTAGCTGTTGGCTTGGAATAGTTGGGGAAACTGCCAAATGAGCCACACCATCCAGCAGGCTAGCTCTTCATGTGGTGTTTGTTGGTGATGGTTGTAAGGTTCTCAGTAGCAGCAAGAATGGCCATATCCTAATGTTTAGGTGCTCTTCAGGTCTCTGAGTCATAGTAGAGCAGTCATTCTCAACCAAGAACTCTTTTGTCTCCCAGGGGCTATCTGGCAGTATTGCAGTTTTGGTTTTTACAACTAGGGGGTGAGGGGATACTACTTACCATCTAATAGATATAGGCTAGGGATGCTACTAAACATCTTATGATGCACAGGACTTCTACAACAAGGAATTGTTTGGCCTAAAAGATGAGAGTGTCAAGGTTGAGGAAACCCTACATTAATCCAGTGGTCAAGTTAAGTCCCAAGAGCAGCAACAAAATTCTCTTGGTGAGAGGGACTATAAATTCATTGAGAGGATTTCTTGTAGCCATTCTTATAATCTATCACATGTTTACTGATTTACATAAAATACTTGAAAAATGGGTCAGATAGTTTTTTATTAGATTTTAAAAAGGTTTTATGAATGTGTGTCATTACTGTAATGAATTATCTGAGGTAATTTAGCTTTTAAAGAGGAAAAGTTTTGGTCTCATAGTTTTGGTGGTTTTAGTCCATATTTGTTTGGCCCTATTGCTTTTGGGCCTGTGGTAAGACAACATTTCATGTTAGGGAGTATGTGGCAGAGCAGAAGACTTCACTTTATGGCCAGGAATTGAAAGAATGGAAGTGAAGAGATGGGTCTCACTATATTCTTAAGTGTCACCCTCAACCCAGTGACCAGAGGTCTTCCCAGTAGGTCCACTTTTCAGTATCTTTCTCTCCCAATGGTGCTAAGCTGGGGATGCACATGGGCCTTGGGGGCCGGGGGTAGGCATTTCATATCCAAACTAAAACAAACAGCAAACAAAACCCATAGAAATTAATATAACAGATCCGGTGGACTCACTACCCAGAGTTGAGAGTGATGGATATATTTTCTCATGTCTTTAATTCTAATTTGATTTTTAAAAACCATTCAGAAGGTTGGCATAGTTGCACAAACCTGAAATGCCAGCTACTTGGGTGGCTGAAGCAGAAATCAAAAGTTTAAGGCCCTGGGCAACTTGGCAAGACCCTGTCTTAATAAAAAACAATAAGGGTGGGGCCTGGGGTTGTGGTTCAGTGGTAGAGTGCTTGCTTAGCATGTGTGAGTCACTGGGTTTGTTTCTCAGCACCACAAATAAATATAAATATAAATATATATATATATGAATAAAATAAAGTTCTATCAATGTCTAAAAATAAAATCACACACACACACACCAAAAAAAACCAAAAAACAGTAAGGGCTAGGGATGCAGTTTAGTGGTAAAGTGCCCCTGGATTCAATCCCCAGTACTGGGGAAAAAAACAAAAAATGACATTAGTCCATTTTATTCCCTTCTCCCTAACTTAATATTCATTCTTATATACTGCTTGCCTATTCTTTCTCCCTCCTTTTTAGATAGTAAATATTAATTTACTTCCATTATACTTTGATATAATTTTTCCTGGATCTGTATTTATTTTTATTTTTTTAAAAGAAGTGAAATTGAAGTATAATTTACATGTAGTAACTTTAAAGTATACAGTGTGATAAATTTTGGGACAGAAGTATACCCATGTAATTGCCACATCAGGCAAGACAGCATACATTTAGACCACCTCAAAAGGTTTTCTTGTGTTCCTTTGCAGTCCATGCTGCCCTTCACCCCCTTTTCTCCACAACTGTTTATTTGTTCTCTGCACTGTAGATTAGCTTTGCCTTTTCTATGGTTTCATATAAATGCAACCATATTATATACTTTTTCTCTGTGTATGTTTAGTATTTTTTTCACTCCATGCACTGGTTTTGAGATTGATCCATTGCTATTCCATGAAACAGTTTATTTTTTACTACTTAGTAGGATTTTATTGTATGGAAATACCATACTTCATTTATCCACACTTGTTGAAGGACATTTGTGTTCTTCAGTTTTAGATCACTACAAACAGATGTTACAGAAATACATGTACAAGTCTTCTGGGGATATATTTTCATTTTTCCTAAAATGAAATGGTAGGTGTATATTAAATTTTATTTAATTTTATTTAAATGTTTATTAAACCTTTATTACTATAGAAGAATTATTAAGATAACTGTAGTGCCATGTTCCTGTGTACTGTTTTGTTTGTTTTGGTCGTGGTCCTGGGGATTGAACCCAGTGGTCTTCTACACTGAACCCTTTTTCTTTTGAGGCAGGGTCTCACTAAGTTGCTGAGGCTGGCCTCAAACTTGTACTTCTTCTGCCTCAGCATCCTGTATTGCTGGGATTACAGTCATGCACCACTGTACCTGGCTTTTTATGTATTCTTTATACAGCTTTCTCCAGTGTAAATGTCTTATATAATTGTGATACATTTAAAATTAACATAAGAAATTAACATTGATATAGTACTCTTAACTGTAGAATCTTTGGATTTCATCATTTTTTCTACTGTTATTTTTCTGTTAAGCACCCAGTGCAGATACCACTTTGCATTCAGCTGTCTCCTTAGATATGAAGTAATTTTACCAATTGTAGCACAGTATTTCTAAATAGATCTTTTTGTTTGCAGCCTTATACTATCCAGTCAAAACCTTTTTTTCTAAAGTTACTATTATGAGACTTTTGGGTCTGATTTCTTTCACTTAACAAAAATACATGTAAAATTCATTCGTGTTGAGAGATATAAAATGGAAGCTGGGCATGATGGCACATGCTTGTAATCCCAGTAACTGATGCCAGAGGATGACAAGTTTGAGGTTATTCTGGGTAATTAACAAGACTCTGTCTCAAAATAAAAAGGGCTGTCTGGGTTCAACTCCTAGTACTATCAAAAAATAATAATAATAATGTAGGAGAACCTGTATGGAGCTCGGTGATTTAGAGTTCTCTGGCTTCAACCTCCAATACTGCAAAAGAAAGAAATTGAGGGGCTGAGGTTATAGCTCAGCAGTAGAGTGCTTGCCTTGCACATGTGAGACACTGGATCCTTAGTACCACATTGAAAATATAAATATATAAAGATATTATGTCCATCTTTAAAATTTTTTTAAAAGAAATGTACATAACATAAAATTAATAATTTTAAAAGTCAACAGTGAAGTGGCATTTGATACATTCATAATAACATGTAACCAACTCTAATTCCTAAACTATGTTGTTTTTTTTTTAACTCCCCAATAGCTCCTTAAGCATTTTCTCTCCATTAACTTCCTTCCTTCAGCTTCTGACAAACACCATTTTCGTTTCTGTTTCTATGGTTTTTGCCTTGCTTTGCTTTTGAAAGATACATTTGCTGGATTAAGAATATACAGTTATTTTCCTTCAGATTTTAAAGATGTTGTGCCAGTTCTTCTCATTCATCCCAACAAGAAATTTACTGTCATCTTTATCTTTGTTCTATATTTAGCATACCTTCCCCCACCCCGCTCTTCTGGTGACTTCTCTTAATTTCATTATTGGTTTTAAGCAATTTGATTACTATATGGTTTAGTGTAGTTTTCTTCGTGATCCTTTGCTGTGGTTGATTGACAGTTAACTTGCTTGGAAACTATTTGACAGGTTTTGTTTGTGAGATTTGTTAGCCAGGCACAGTGTAGTATTTAGATAAGGTATGATTTTTTTCCCCTTATTGAGACTAGATCTTTTTGTGAATCTTGAGGTTATTCTTTTTTTTTTTTTTTTTTTTTTAGAGAGAATTTTTAATATTTATTTTTTAGTTTTCGGCGGACACAACATCTTTGTTTGTATGTGGTGCTGAGGATCGAACCTGGGCCTCACGCATGCCAGGCGAGCGCGCTACCTCTTGAGCCACATCCCCAACCCTTGAGGTTATTCTTGAGAGTTCCAGGCTGTGTGATAAGAATTTGAGGTCCTGAGTAGGGACTTGGCACTGTTTTCTAATTTTTGGGGGGTGATGGTCTCTTTTGCTTGCATGTTAGGTAGTTTGATCACGCTCCTGGGCTGAACAGCTGCGTACTTGAGAGATTTCCTTTGTAACTCTGCAGTTCTCTCTGGTGTGCTGTTCTGTCCTGCAAATTCTAGTTGCCTTAGTCTTCCTGTGTTTAGACTCCTGTCTTTTCAGCTCAGCCCAACAGCCTCCACAAGGGCTCTATATCCTCAGCACAGTGTCCTAGAAACTCTTCCCATACAGTAAGATAGGCAATCTTAGGTCTTTTGTTTTCCTTCTCTCTTGTTTCATTGTTTCTCATTGCCTGATATGCAGTGTCTTGAAAACTATAGTTTCATTTCTCTTTGGCTTTTGGTTGTTTGAGGTGGGAGGGTTAATCTGGTCCTTGCTGTTTTTCCATTCAGAAATAAATTTTTTTAGGCTTACTGAAAGTTGTGAAAATAATTTGCTGTTTCTGTGTATCTTTTACTCAGCTTTCCCCATGATAACATCTTACATAGCCATATTTATAATTATCAAAACTAGGAAGTTGATGTTGGTACAGTACTCTTAGCTAAATTCCATACCTATTTTACATTTTTACATGTATTCTTTTTTGGGGGGGGTTGCTGTTAGTGTATAGTTACATATGTATAAATTTCATTTAATTACTATCTCAATCAGCATAAAAAACTTGCATTGTTTTGATGAAATTCCTTTGTACCACCCTTACTTCCAGGCCTGACCCTGGCAACTACTGATTGCATTAATTTTATTGTTTTGACTATTATTTTATCCTTTCCAGAATGTCATGTAAATAGAATGAATGATATAATGTTGCCTTTTGAGATTAGCTTTTTTTTTTTTTTTTTTTACTTAGCATAGTATCTTTGAGTTCTCTCCAAATTGTGTATATCAACACTTTTCTGTTTTATTGCTGATCTAGTATTCCATTCCTGGGCGTAACATAGTTTATCTGTTTCTCCATTGAAGGATTTTTGAGTTGCTCCTAGTTTGGGACTATTACAAATCAAACTACTATAAACATTTGTTTATTGGTTTTAGTGTGAAAATATTTTCACAAGTACATTGTTTTCCAGATTGGATTCATTTCCACTAGCAATTAAGAGAAATCCTGTTGTTCTTTCCTATCAGCACTTGGCATTGTCAATATCCCCCCCCCCCCCTTTACTACTTTGCAATGGACATATAATAGTATCTCATCAAGCCTTTAATTTGCATTCCCCTAAGGGCTACTGATGTTGAATATCTTTTCATGTACTTTTCATGTACTGTATCCCATTTCACTGGAATCTCTTTGGTGTAGTTTATGTTCAAGTGTTTTCCTTTTTTATGTTATTTTTTCCCAGTACTAAGGATTAAACCCAGGGGTGCTCTATCACTGAGCTATATTCCCAGCCTTCTTTTTTTTTTTTTTTTTTTGAGACAGGGTCTTGCTGCTGAGTTGCCAAGGCTGGCCTCAAACTTGTGATTCCCCTGCCTCAGCCTCCTGAGTAGCTTTTATAAGACATGTACCACCACATTCAACTTCATTTTCTAATTGGATTGTCTTATTGTTAAGTATGTTCTAGATACGAGTTCTTTGTTTATATATGATTTGTAGATAGTTTCTCCTTATCTATGGCTTTTCTTTTTGTATTGTCAAAAGTGTCTTTCACAGAGCAAAAGATTTTAATTTTGACTTCTTTTTTGGTACCAGGTATTGAACTCGGGGATACTTAACCACTAAGCCACATCTCTAACCCCTTTTATACTTTATTAGAGACAGGGTCTCCTTGAGTTGCTTAGGGTCTCATAGTTTGTGAAGGCTGGCTTTGAACTTGGGATCATCCTCCCTCAGCCTCCAAAGTTGCTGGGATTACAGGTGTGTACTGTGCCTGGCCTTTAATTTTGAATTCTTATTCATCCATTCAAAAATTGTATTTTGTAGGATGCTTCCCTGCCCCTCCTTAACTGTTCTAAGAACTCTTTGCCTAACTCAAGATCTTAAAGTTTTCTCCTGTGTTTTCCTCTAAAAGTTTTATGTTCTATTTAGTCAGTGATCCCAGAGTTAATTTTTTATTTAGATGTAAGGTTTCATCAGTGTTATTATTTGCTTATGGATGGCAAGTTGTTTCAATGCCATTTGTTGGAAAAGACTATTGAATTTGCCTTTTCATCTTTATCAAAAATTAAAGCTTGCTCCTGGAGTGGTGTGGTGCATGCCTGTAATCTCAGTGACTCAGGAAGCTAAGGCAGGAGTTCAAGCCAGCCTTAGCAACTCAGCGAGTCCTGGTCTCTAAATAAAATGTAAAAAAGGACTAGTATGTGGCTTAGTGGTTAAGCACCCTGGGTTCAATCCTTATTACCAAAAAAAAAAAAAAAATCAGTTTGCCACCAGGCATGGCAGCACATGCCTGTAATCTCAGCAGCTTGGGAGGCTGAGGCAGGAGAATTGTGAGTTAAACCAGACTCAGCTACTTAGTGAGGCCCTTAGCAATTTATCGAGGCCCTGTCTCAAAATACAAAATAAAAAGGGCTGGAAATATGGCTCAGTGGTTAAGCACTTGTGGGTTCAATCACTGATACCAAAAAAAATAAAGTTTGCCACGTTTTGTGAAGATTATTTTAAGGAAACTTCACAGAAATGCTATTCTGTCTCATGTATTTATATATATGTCCTTCTATCAGTACACTGTCTTGTTTCCTGTAGTATGACCAAAGTAAGTCCCCAAATCAAGTAGTTGATCCCTCCAATTTTATTCTTGGTTTTAAAAATTATTTTAGCTGTTCTAATTTCTTTGCTTTTGCATCTAAATTTTAGAATTATCTTTTTTTGGGGGGGCGGGTATCAATGGACCTTTATTATTTACGTGCAGTGCTGAGAATCAAACCCAGTCCCTCACACATGCTAGACAGGTGCTCTACCACTGAGCTACAATGACAGCCAGAGAATCATCTTTTTTTTTTTTTAATTTATTTTTTAACTGGGCACAATATCTTTATTTATTTTTATATGGTGCTGAGGATTGAACCCAGGGCCTCACACATGCAAGGCAAGCGTTCTACCACTGAGCCACAACCCCAGCCCCCCCCCCCCCATCATCTTATCAAAATAATTACACTGGACCTGGCATGGTAGTGCATGCCCATAGTGCCTATAATCCCAGCTATTTGGGGACTAAGGTGGGAGAATTGCAAGTTCCAGACTAGCCTGGACAATTTAGTGAGATCCTGTCTCAAAATAAAAAAGTTTGGGTTTGTAGTTTCATGGTAAATCTCTTGCTTAGCATGTGTAGGGCCCTGAGTTCAATCCCTAGCACTACCAAAAAAAAAAAAAATTGTGGGTTTTTTTTTTTTTGGCTGGGATTTAGCATTAGATCAGTTGATTACTTTGGGGAAAATTAACATTTTGACTGTGTTGTTTTCCAATCCATGGACGTAAATGTCTTTTCATTTACTTAGGTTATATTTGATATTTTCATTAGCATTTTGTAATTTTCATTCTGTACATGTTTCTTTAGGTCGGTCTTTAGTATTAATTTTTTAAGGAAATAATTGTACATCATTTGTGCTTTTAATTTTGTTATCTTGTTGATTGATTTTAGATAGCCTTTATTGATTTTTGTATTTTGACATATGTGACTTTCGTAAACTCATTCTGTTTGTTTTTCCTCCTAAATTCTTGAGTTTTCTATGTAGCCCATCATATAATCTATAAGTAGTTCCATTTTTATATTTCCTTTCAAATATGTATTCCTCTTAATTTCCTTTCTTGCCTGATTTCATTAGCTAGGACTTTAGGTGCTATGTTGAATAGGAGTGACAAGTATGGACAGCCACGCCTTATTCCCCATCTTCAGTGGAAAACATTCATTTATCATTAGTATGATGTTAGTATAGATACTTTGTAGGTGTTCAGTACATACAATCATGTTTTGCCTTCATATCTAGTTTAAATTTGCATTTCTTTGCTGAATAATGATGAATAACTTTTCATAGGCTTATTTATCAACTTCCTTTGTTAACTCTGTTCACTTTGTAAAGAATTTATTTTGTAGCAGTTATAAATGTTTATTATACAAAGAACTTATTCTTTTCTAAGCCCTTAGCATTCCATAATCCCTTCATACTTTATTGTTTTGTAATTAAGGATATTTTGTTGTGTTATACTTTGGCTGAGTATGCCCCAGAGGTCCATGTGTTAAAGGCTTGGTCTCTAGGGGTGACACTTTTGGGAGTTGATGGAAACTTGAAGAGGTGGGACTTTTGTGGGAGGTCCTTGGGTCACTGGGGTTGTGCCCTTGAAGGAAATTGTGGGAATCCAGTGACATGTCCTCCTTCCATGATGTGTTGTCTGTCTGTAGAGGTCCAAATTAATGAGGCTGCCCCTTCTTGGACCTGAACTTCCAGAACTGTGAGCCTAAATAAACCTCTCTTTATTTGATAAGTAGTCTGTCTCAAGTATTTCATTGTAGTAATACAAAGGTGATGAATACATGCTTATGTGTCTACAATACAGTTATCACACTTGGGAAATTACATTGAGGTATTGCTATTAAATCTTCAGTTAAAATTTTGCTAATTAAAAAAAATAAAAAAAATTTTGCTAATTGTACAGATAATGTCTTTTAAAAAATGTTTTTTTAGTTGTAGATGGACACAATACCTTATTTATTTATTTTTATGTAGTGCTGAGGATCATCAAACCCAGTGCCTCATATGTGCTAGGCAAGTGCTGTACCACTGGCGTTACACCCCAGCCCCCATATAACGTCTTTCATGCCTGGAGGAATTATTTGTTGCATGTCATTGTTTTATATCTTTGATCTCCTTCATTCTAGAATATTACTTTTATCTTTCCACAGCTTTCATGGCCTTCTTCTGAAGATTATAGACTAGTTTTTTTGGTTTTTTTTTTTAACACAAGTTTATTTTGTATGATGTTTTTCGGTTTTGAGTTTTCTTATGAAAAAACTCAAAACTTAATTAAGGTTTTATATCTCCACCAGGTATATCAGACAAGTGATGCTGTGTTCTTAGTATATTCTGTCAGGGGCCTCATTATTGCAATTTTTCTTATTATTAATGATCACTTTGATCATTTGGTCAATGTGGAAACTACCAGTCTTCATTGTTGTAAAACACCTCTTTAACCCTTTTAAATTAATAACTACTTGTGGGTAAGGACTTTGAAGCCTTTTGATACCTCACTCCCCTCTAATATCAGTTTATTTATATATGAAATCATGGGTTACCTGTTTTATGTAGTGGATCATAGTCTTTTTAGGTGCTGTGTGTTGAACCCAGAGCCTTGAACATGCTAAGAACATACTCTAGCATGGAACATCACTCCTACCCTTATTATTATGACTTATTTAGATGTTCAATATATCTCTGATTTGATAGGTAGAAATTTTGTCAGTCTGGCTGCGTTCTGTGTCCCTTCAACACATTCTCATCATTTTGGAATGCTGTCTTCTATCTGGTAAAAGGTGATCTAAACTCACTGTGTACTTTTTCTGCCCTAGCCCTTCATATTAGCAATTTCTTGGAGGAGCCCTGATTCTTTTAATGTAGAATATGTTTAGAAGCCAAGATCTAGGTTATAGAAATGTTGGCTGTTGCTATGATAGATGTTGCTAACCCCAGTGCCTTGGAGCTAAGGAATATTTAAGTGTATTTATATGCATATGTTCACTTACATCTAGCTATACTTATGTCTAGTTTTAGCTAAATATGTTGAAAATCAATAGTTTATACACGAATAACACAAGCTTTAATCCAGATCCCAGTGTTCTCACTTTCCAAAGTTTCTTCCTTTTCCATATTTGCAATTGCCTGTTTTAACAGTAAGAAGTTGGACTCCTTTAAAGAATTTAACCTTTATTTGTTTTTATGTGCTGCTGAGGATTGAACCCTGGGCCTCATCCTTGCTAGGCAAGCGCTCTACCACTGAGCTACAACCCCAGCCCTCACAAGTTTCTTTACCTAAACATAATGTTCTTCTTTTACCATATTGCAGTTATTGGTATCAGAAAATTAGTTATTGATATCAGAAAATTAGTATTGATTCAGTATTCCTTGCTCTCTAATGCATACTTTCTTTAAATTTTACTTATTCTTTTTTTTTTTTTTTTTGTACCAGGGATTGAACCTAGGGGTACTAAACCACTGAGCTACA